ACGTAAAAATGGTGTTAAGTGCGATGGTAGTGGGGTCAGCATTGAAAGGTGCAATTGGACTCGTTGGGACTAGCTTGTGGCTGGTTCCATTACTCATTGCCGGCTTATCGTATTACCGATACGATCTCCTTGATCCAGAGAGTAGACCCATTGATCGTCGTCCCCTCAATCCTGAGTATGACTTTGTTATTATCGGTGGTGGTTCAGCAGGTGCAGTTGTTGCTAGTCGACTGTCTGAAATACCAGATTGGAAAGTACTACTGTTGGAGGCGGGTCCAGATGAAAATGAGATAACAGATGTGCCGTCCTTGGCGGCATACCTCCAACTGACAAAACTCGATTGGAAATACAAAATCGAGCCGACCGGCAAGTCATGCCTTGGAATGGAAAATGGTAGGTGTAACTGGCCAAGAGGTAAAGTTCTTGGTGGTTCAAGTACTCTGAATTACATGCTTTATGTGCGCGGCAATAGGCACGACTACGACCACTGGGAGGCACTTGGAAATTCCGGATGGGGTTACGATCAGGCGTTGTACTACTTCAAAAAGTCCGAGGACAACAGGAATCCTTATTTGCGAAAAAGTCCTTATCACGGTACAGGCGGTTATTTGACCGTTCAGGAGTCACCGTGGAGGACACCTCTAGTCGTTGCTTTTGTACAAGCTGGTAATGAACTGGGATACGAGAATCGTGATATCAACGGAGAGTATCAGACCGGTTTTATGATTGCCCAGGGGACAATTCGTCGAGGTGGTAGATGCTCAACAGCCAAAGCTTTTCTAAGACCAGTCAGATTGCGGGATAATCTGCACACAGCTATGAATGCACATGTAGCAAAGATATTGATAGAGCCAGTAACGCGAAAGGCCATTGGTGTGGAGTACTATCGTGACGGAAGAAAGCAAATTGTGAGAGCGCGAAAAGAGGTGATACTCTCAGCTGGTGCTATAAATAGTCCACAGTTGTTGATGCTATCGGGTATTGGACCTGAGGATCACCTTCGTCACATTGGCATTCCGGTTCTCAAGGACGCACCAGTTGGCAATAATTTGCAAGATCACGTTGGCATGGCTGGACTGACATTTTTAGTTGACAAACCAGTTGCTATTGTACAAGATCGCTTTCAAGCTGTTCCAGTTACCATGAATTACGTTGTCAATGGTAGGGGACCTATGACAACACTGGGGGGTGTTGAGGGCTATGCTTTTGTTAATACTAAGTATGCTAATGAATCGGGATTGTATCCGGATATTCAACTACACATGGCACCAGCATCACTCAGCTCAGATGCTGGTGTTCAAGTGAGGAAAATTCTTGGTCTCACTGACGAACTTTATGATGCTGTGTTCCGGCCAATTACCAATAAAGATGCTTGGACGCTGATGCCACTGCTACTGAGACCTAAATCAAGAGGTACTGTGAGACTCAAAAGTTCAAGTCCATTTCACAGTCCCATTGTCAATGCCAATTACTTCGCTGAACCTGAGGACATTGCGAAACTTGTGGAAGGGGCTAAGATAGCGATTAGAATAAGCGAAGCTAGAGTCTTCAAACAATTTGGTTCTAGGCTGCATCGCCTCAAGATTCCTGGCTGCAAACATCTCAAATTTGGGTCTGATGCCTACTGGGAGTGTCACATTCGTCACATTACTATGACTATTTATCATCCCGTTGGAACTGCCAAGATGGGACCATCTGCGGATCCTGAGGCTGTTGTTGATGACAGATTGAGGGTCTATGGCGTCGATGGGCTTCGGGTGATAGATGCGTCCATAATGCCCACTATATGCAGTGGCAATACCAATGCACCGGTTATTATGATTGGGGAAAAGGGGGCCGATCTCATTAAGGAGGACTGGCTGGGACTTCAGGGTAGATAGCATTTTTAGGAGTTTGACAAATCAAAAGACAATTTTAATTCAATTGTTGCGTGTCTGTGAGTGTGTTGAGAGGCGATAATTTACTTGAAAAATTATCTATGAACTTTAGGAATCTTTAGCAAGAATTGCATCAACTCTGGTAAAAACTAAAACATTTTTTACGGATTTTTTGGATGAAATATTGTAATTCTTCAATGAAGTTATTGCATTCTTCACTAGAGTTTGGTTGAATGATTAGAATTGAGAGATAAAAAAAATTAATAGAAAACCTAAGACTTTATATTTAAAAAAATTTTTTTTTTTTCGTCAGTTTTATTGAAGATTATACAACTTTATTGTGATATTTTGTTAGCTACATTTGACAGAAAAAATTCAATAGATTAAAATCAATTCGATAGATTTCAATAGATATTTTACGTTTTCTACAGAAATTCTTGAGCATAAATCTTCAAACTTTTTTATGCTCTATTTTTGTTTATCTCTCAGAATAAAATCCAAAGGAAACAACATGAAAAACTCATGCCCAAGAATTCTTAGTTAAAAAATCCCAACAGAATAAGATATATTGAAGTACGAACATCTAGAGAATTTTTCGATAAACAAATATCTATTCCAAAATGTGCGGGAGAGTTGCACAATTTTCGATAGAATTGGCGCTAAAACAAATAGAATTTTCCAATAAAATTATAATTCAACAGAATTTCTTGAAGTGAACGCCAGGTTTTTTATAAAATGTTTTCATCGGTGAAGTTTAATAAAAATTCATCTTCACGTGACTCTCCAATTCAAAATGTTTTTCCCGACTCATAATCAACACGGAAGTTTGTATTGCCTTTTAACACTTTTTGCTGCTGACAAAAAGTCAACGACCCTCAAACTTATAAAAACAACGTGATTAATGAGTATATAAAAAATTAGAGAAGAGTATTTCCGTGCCATTAGCCACATATTATCATTCATGGGCAATCAAACATTGCAGATAGAAGTCAATCCAAACTCTTGTAATAATTGTAACAATGATCAAACCAATGTCGCATAAGTTATACAATTTTTTTACTCATGTGTTTTGTACATAGAAATAAAGATTTGTTATTGTTTTTACATTTTTTAAACCCCACGCGTTGTTCATTATCACCCACTGTGAAAATTGCTCGTGCTGCGTGGAAGCCAGACAGCAGTTAAAACCTTTTTCCCTCGAGTAGACTCCACCCAGGGTTTATGTTCATGCTCACTCAAATTTATCGCACGAGTAAATCGGGAAAAAAACTAGGGAGCCTCATCGCTATAGGTCTGTGCAAATTGTACGTTGGAACTATTCTACAGTTTCTTGGAAATCGATAAATGGAGGAGTAGACGAGCAAAACCTAGTCTGGTCTGCATGAGGGGTTCAATATGGAGATCGTGTCTCTAATTATGAAATCAAGCTGCACTTGTTACGAAGGGTTCAACTGGAGAAATTCATTCTGGTATTTCATTAGTGGACAGATTGATTAGATGATTCGAGTAGGGGAAAATTATAAAACAAAGTAACATGGATTCTTAACACTGAGAGAAAAAATTAGTTCTGCCGAAAAATTACATGTTCCCCTGAAGAGATCTTTTTTCGTGTTGAATCAATTTACTTGTGGATAGAAAAGAAAGTTTCCACCGAAACAGGATAGTTTTTGGAGTAGTGATTGCTCTCGTGAGGCATTGATACGTCTTCCGGGTAAATACATTCGTTCTACAGAGAATGATGTGAGGCACTGGTTTTATCAAGTGAATTTTATTGAGTAGTGCTTCTTTGTCCAATAAACACTTATAATTTTCTTGACAATTTTTTTTTTGAGAAAAAAAATATTCTTTCCTTGTCAATGTATTCATTCTATGGTATAAACCTATGGAGTTCTCTTAGATCAAATGATTGTCGTACAACAGATTATATTTTTTCCTGCCCAAAATTAATTTTTGTGAAAGATATTAAGAAGAATGTTTTCCTCAAGTGAATCTGTTCCACTACTTGAAATATTCTCAAGTACAACCTATATTTTTTCGGCAGAGCTAATTTTTTTTCTGCCTATTCTGAAATGAATAAAAAAATTCTGAATTCCACTGACATAGCGGAAAAAGTTATGAATTTTTTTGCACAAAAATATGGAGAATCCCTATGGAGAATTCCAATTACCGATAGCTAGCATGAAGTGTAATACATAAAGAGCCTTAAAAACTCGATGTTCATCAATAGACGCAAAAAGAGAACTATTATTTTCCGATTCAGTGCGCATCAGAAAAACATGATTTTTTTTTAATAGTATTCTCGTTAATTGTATAAGCTGTCCGGAAAACCTTGAGCATCATCGTTGCAAAAATTAAATACTCAAATTATATACAGTAATACTCGCAATTATGAAATTCAATGAATGTAAAATTCCGGATAAAAAAAATCAATCCGTAAGTTCTCAGTAACCTTCGCACGTACTCATTTTTCACTTTTCACGAAAATAACGCAATTGTAGAAAGAGCCATGCAACAATGATTGTTTCCTTGCTGTGAAAACTACCTGGAATTGAAATTCTCATTGCGTTTTGCCCGGAATCCCTCCACCATTCCAATCACGAATAAGTGTGACAGCAGGATAATTACGTAAATAGATAAAAGATGCAATCATGGCCATTAACACGTGTCGTGAAAACAAGAACAGAATACAATGTCTGACAAGTAAGAAAACAATAGACGCAGCCATAGCAGGAACAATCAATGTTTTTTTCCTATTCATCTAATTTTCCAAATTGCTATCTCAGTAAATTACATTTTCACTGACGACCTCTGAGCTTGAGTGTTTGAAAAATAATTTAACTCTCTTCGGAGGTCATTTTGCGATCGGGGGAGGGACCAATGAAGACCAGGTATACATGGAGATAGCTCGATGCCCAGTGACTCAATCCTCCGCACGTCGATATTGAATATCAAGGCACGAGAATGAGTACCCCCAAGCCACATGCCATTGGTTGAAAATTGTCAGGTACACCTTTGGCACAATACTCCCTGCCTTCGATACAATTGATTATAATTATGCAATGGGGTATAAATACACAAGCGATCAGTTTTTTTACTTCAAATTGTTTCATTTGATCACTTGACACGCATCAACATGAGAGCACTGCTGTTGCTATTCAGTATTATTGTAGCTTCCCAAGCAAAAGAGACATATAAAAATTTATACGGACGACGAGGATTCAGCAATGGCCTCGTTAATATGTTCGGCGCAACAGCGGGGGCAGCTCAATTTGCCCAGGAAGGTGAGAAATTCATGTTTTCGGAGCCGCCAGACAGAACCCCAACCAACAATGAAGAATTTGACTTCATCGTTGTCGGTGCTGGCACAGCTGGTGCAACGATAGCATCAAGACTCACCGAAATACCTGATGTTCGAGTGCTTCTCATTGAAGCAGGACGAAGTGAGAATCTTCTCATGGATATACCGATACTTGCTCATTATCTTCAATTCAGTGATGAGATTAACTGGAAATACAAGACAGAGCCGTCCAACAGTTATTGCAAAGCAATGGTGGACACGCAATGCAATTGGCCAAGGGGCAAAGTGATGGGTGGCAGTAGTGTCTTGAACTACATGATCGCAACAAGGGGATTCCCAAAGGATTACGATCGTTGGGAAGCCCTGGGAAACAAAGGCTGGTCGTGGAGAGATGTCCTACCCTACTTCAAGAAACTCGAGACCATCAATATACCCGAATATAAATCCAATACAAGACTACACAATAATGATGGACCAGTTTCCATCGAGCATCCAGCATTCCACACGCCACTGGCTTCGGCTTTTTTGAGAGCCGGAGTGGAGCTCGGCTACAAAATTATCGATTACAATAGTGGTGAGGAGCCTGTTGGCTTTTCTTACCTCCAAACGACAACGAAAAACGGCACGAGAATGAGCAGCAATGTTGCTTATCTCCATCCAGCGAGTTCAAGGAGGAACTTGATTGTCACGAAAAATACTATGGTTAGAAAAGTGCTGTTTGCCGATAGTGGAAAACGCGCGATTGGGGTGGAATATGTCAAAGGAAACCGAAGGTATCGTGTTACTGCCACGAAAGAAGTGATTCTGAGTGCAGGTGCCATTGGAAGCCCCCAAATACTGATGCTATCGGGAGTAGGTCCTGCTGAGCATCTTCGTGAGATGAGAATAAAGCCAATAGTTGATCTTCCAGTGGGCGAAAATTTAATGGACCATATTGCATATGGGGGACTTATTTTTGAAATTGATCAACCAGTGGCGTATCGGCTTAATGATCTTGTCAATCCAGCTAATCCTTACATGAAGGACTTCTTCTTGGAAAGAAAGGGACCACTAACGGCACCAGGTGCTTGCGAAGCTATCGCCTTCATCGATGTAGACAGACCGAACAATCATACTGCTTATCCGAATATCGAACTACTTTTTGTGGGATCTTCCTTTGTTACTGTCAGTGCTGTGCGATACGATTTTGGAATCGACGAGAGAATTTGGAATGAGACATATGCGTCGCTAGAGAACAGTTATTCCTGGACGGTATTCCCGCTGTTGCTGAGACCCAAGAGTCGAGGAAGAGTTCTCCTGCGAAGTGCTGATATCAATAGTAAACCGAGAATTATAGCGAATTATATGAGTGATAAAGAAGACGTCAGAATTCTGATTAAAGGAATCAGGGAGACAGTGAAGATCAGTCGGACAAAGGCTATGCAGAGATTCGGAACGAGATTGTCTACTGTAAAATTGAAAGCGTGTGAAGGATTTGAGGAGAATAGCGACGATTATTGGGAATGTGCGACCAGAAGTATGACAATTAATATTTATCATTATTCAGGAACGTGTAAAATGGGCCCACGAGGTGATCCAACTGCAGTAGTTGACGAGAGGCTCAGGGTACGTTGACTTTTTTCTTCTTTTAATTCACATAAAGAAAGATAACAACTGATCAACCTCTCACGTATGACAAAACTTGATCTAAGGGAGATTGCGAAATTTTCGTAATTACAATACATTTGTTGTAGCACTCAATCGGCTCCACAAAAAAGGTCATAAAAAAAATTTCGCTATCTTTCTTGAATTCCGAGATATGGATTGAAAACTGGTCAATAGTCAAAATTGACTCATCTCCTTTTAGCACTTCGCTACTGAATTTATCCTTATCGTTCGTTATATACACTCCCCTTTAACGCAAAATAATTTGTCTTTCATTTGTTTTTTTCCAGGTACACGGTATTAAAGCTCTGAGGGTTGCAGACGCGTCAATAATGCCTGAAATTATGTCGGGCCATACCAATATCCCCTCATTTATGATCGGTGAGAAATTGTCGGACATGGTAAAAGAGGACTGGGGATATCCAATTCATAAGGATCCCTGAATGTCCCTGACGCATAGTTTCCTTATATTTAAATTCATAAATACCTCATCCACCAGTTTTATCCCATCATGTCATACGAAATCCCACGTACCTGTAATCAGAAAAATAAACAAATTATTTTACGGGTGTATTACACCAGCAATAGTTCTTGCAAAATTTAAAATAAAATATAATGATGACTAAATTTTATGTCATTCCACATGCACCCCCGATTATTCTTCATTCAATTCAAATCAAACTGTACTAGTCGCATAAATAGACAATGCACCATGACACGAACATGGCCAGGGGTAAATGGAATAAATTAACACCAAGTAAATGTTATTAACCACCTAATCGTGATTGTAATATACTCATCCGATCACCTTTTCGCCACTCAGCGTAAGAAGGGATGTACGCACTCGATTGGATAAACGTTACCTGTCTGGTCATATATTACGTGAGCATCTTGAGAAAGCGCATTTCTCTCAGTGGACCTCTTAAACACAGCGAGAATAGCTGTGTCTCCAGTTCAATACCGCCTTTTCTAGCGTCATCATTTTAAAATTTTCTCATTCTACGATTGAGATATTATCATTCAATTGAGCCTAGCCAACTTCTCTGTAACCACTTCTTTTGTCTATTTCGAGGTAAGGACAGAGTCTCTATCGTCACGAAGAGAAAAATTTAATAAAACTTATATATTAGAACGTATCATCTTTATGTCAAATGCTCTTTTGAAAAATTTCACTTGAAAATAATGAAAAATTGCTGGGAGAGAGATGAATTTTTATTGTTAGGTCTGGAATTTTTACGGGGTGGAATGTAATTTCTTATGTAATTTCTGTTGTACCTTGTCATTTCAGTAACGAAGTGGTGAAACAGTGTAAGTCAACTTAACTCTCAGCTGAGTTTTTTAGGCATATCTCCGAATCTAAGGGAAATACCAAAATTTTTCTGATTACCTTTTTCGTAGTTCTAACTTCGCTCTCCAAAAAAGGTTATAACAAAAATTTTACAATCTGCCTTAGATTCCGAGATATCCACTGAAAACTGACCGATAGTAAAAATCGACTTAAACAGTTTTACCGCTTCGCTACTGATTTTATTATTATAGCTATTATTATATTCTTTACTCGTTAAAATTGAACAATTTTGATTGGAAATATTTCTTTAGTAAAAAAAAGATAGACTTGAAGAAATCGGTCAATGCTTCATGCATTGAAATAATGGTATAATCAGCATGACGATATCTCCCATACGATCAAGAAAAAGAGAAAGTATTTTTTGCCATTCCTTATCTCCACTGCCGTCGAAAATTGAAAACTGGATATAACATTCTTATGTATCCGATTCTAATGACTACGTCCTCTAATCATTGAAAAACTTTTTATGCGGCGTAAGCAGTAATTAGCTGGAATAAAATTATTTCCGCAAGACTGTATGGAATGATTGTCGCCGATAAATTTCCTGAATTATTCATTCCAGGAAAATGTGGGTGCTGCATGCTACAGCTATCGTCTCACTCCTTCTCATAGAGCCATCAATCGGAGCCAATATGTTTCAACTATTCTCGAGTTACGGATTCAGGGAGAGTTTTGATATTCCCATAGTGGCCATACCAACTCGTGCCGAATATGATTTCATAATAGTCGGGGCTGGTTCGGGTGGTTCAGTGGTTACTAATCGTCTCAGTGAAAATCGTAAATGGAAAATTTTGCTGCTGGAAGCTGGCAAACCGGAAGGTATACTCAATCAGATTCCAATCTTAGTGAGCAACTTTCAGCAAACTGATTACAACTGGGGATACAGAGTTGAAGAGCAGAAAAATGCTTGTCTGGGAATGAAGGATCGCCGTTGCACTTGGCCGCGAGGTAAATCATTAGGTGGAACAAGCACACTGAATTACATGATTCACACAAGAGGGAACCGATTCGATTATGATCATTGGGCGGAGCTTGGGAATGACGGATGGTCCTACGAGGATGTATTGCCGTACTTCAAAAAAAGCGAGAGGTTCAGGGTTCCAGGTACATAATTCAATTAGTGGATTTTTCAATTCTACTAAATTCGGAAAGAAAATGAATTTTCGTGGAGAATTAACTAGTAATTTTTAGGAGACTGGCAGTAAATTGAAACATCCAGTTTTCGTTGATTTTCCCAAGAAATTTTGTCCAAAAAGTGTGTCCACCAGAAATTTCAGCCCTTAATTTTAATTTTCAGGAGTTTACAATAAGTCTTTCCACGGTGAGGATGGACCCCTCTGCGTGGAGCACGCCCCTTACCACACAAAATTAGCAACATCATATTTGAAAGCAGGGCAACACCTAGGATACGAAGTACTGGACTACAATGGTCCCCAGCAAATCGGATTCTCCTATCTCCAATTAAACATGGATAAGGGTTCAAGATGCAGTGCTTCCAGAGCCTACTTGAGGATAAAACGCTCCAATCTGGACATCGTAACCGATGCAAGAGTTACAAAAGTTCTCATCGACGATCAGAAACGTGTGCACGGAGTGGAATTAATCAAGAACGGAGCAACCCAAACGGTTCGTGCAAGTAGGGAAGTTATATTATCCGCGGGAACAATAGATTCCGCCAAATTACTGATGCTCTCGGGCATCGGACCCAAGCAGCATTTGGAGGATTTGGGTATCAAAGCCCTGAAGGATCTCCCAGTTGGTTACAATCTCTACGAGCACATCGGCTTCTTAGGGCTGACATTCATGGTCAACCAGAGCGTGAGTTTATTGCAGAATCAGCTAGTGGCACCACGTTACCTAATGGATTACGCCCTCCGCAGGTCAGGGCCTTTTTCAACGCCAGGTGGTGCTGAGGCATTAGCTTTTATACGAACGAAATACGCAGTTGATTCACGTCCTGACGTTGAACTACTCTTCAACGGAGGATCACTACACTCTGATAATGGGCTTGCCGTCAGAAAAGGGTACGGTGTATCCGATGAAGTGTATAACGCAGTGTTCAAACCAATTGAGGGAAAACATGCGTTTTCCATCTGGCCGATCACCCAAAATCCTCGCAGCTACGGCCGAATTTTTCTGAAATCAAAGAATCCCCTCGACGATCCAATTATTCAACCGCATTTTTTCGAACATCCAGCTGACGTGGAGATCATTTTGGAAGGCGTTAAACATGCAATTAGCATTGTGTCAACTCCTCCCTTCCAGAAATATGGGGCGCGACTGCACGATATTAAAATACCTGGCTGCCAAGCTTTCCAGTTTGGCTCTGATGATTATTGGAGATGTGGCATTAGACATTTGCCATCTATGATGAATCATGAGATAGGAACTGCAAAGATGGGACCGTCGACTGATGCTAGTGCTGTTGTCGATGCGAGACTGAGGGTTCATGGTGTTCAGAGGTTGAGAGTGATTGATGCATCTGTCATGCCAACGATGCCAGTTGGTCATGTCAATGCTGGAATTTTCATGATCGGAGAGAAGGGGGCTGATATGATCAAACAAGATTGGGAAAAAGCTCAGTGAATATTTTTTCTAATGAATACTTGCTCATTATAACTGACTGATATGTTATTGATGACTTTTTGAATGAATAAAGTTATATTTTTTTTATGTTTGTTCGTCACGTTCCATTTCCATGAATAATTTTTTCATTCCCTCGTACTTGTTGCACTCATACTTCAATGGTTTGTTCAGGATCAATAAAATCTTTTGTAATTATGTTCTTTATTTTTGCATTCATAACAGTATTCATATTTCTCCTGAGTTCAGGGTTAAGACCCTTCTCGCTTGTACTGAGAATTGCGGAATTAAAAAAAATTTTAAAACCGGTCCACGTCCGTGTGTGGATCCCCTACTCTCCTAACCAGCTTAAATGCGGATGAGTTTTATTCGAGTCAATACACTTGAGACTAGCCCGGAGGATTCCTGAATAGCAATGAAATGCGTGAGCGAATAAAGTGTCAGTGATATTCTCGAATCCAGAAGTAGTCGAGTGATTGCCAGCGGTTGGACGTTGTGCGATCGTCGTACATTTGTTCATGACAATCTCTGGTAAGTCATTATAGATTTTTTCATTAACAATATCTTCTAATGAAACAATCAATTGAATGGAGGTGTTTTATTTTATTTCAATTAATGAAATTGTATAATCTCCCCTCAATAACGTCAATTCTACGTGTCCCTTGTGTTTTAGTACCCTCTAAAAAATGCGGTAACGCTGCGGAGTGGATGCCCTTGAGTTCTGCCGGGTCGATAACCCACACCAGATTCGGTAATCACTTGCATACAAAAAGGAAACATCGAAGACAGGCTAGTTGATAAAGAAGTCTATTCATTCTTGAAAATGGGTGTAAAAAGCACGATCATCGTCCCTCTAGTACTACTACTTCAATTGTCAGCAAGCACACAAATCCTAGATTTACTAGCGAGTTACGGGCTTTGGGAGAGTCGACAAATTCGGATAATACCGCTTCCACAATCTCAATACGATTTTATAATTGTCGGCGCTGGCACTGGCGGCTCAACATTGGCAAATAGATTATCAGAGAACCCCAATTGGAAAATTCTTCTTCTGGAAGCTGGTAAGCCCGAGGGGATTTTCAATCAATTGCCAATCGTTGTAAGTTACTTTCAACATACTGACTATAACTGGGGGTATAAGCTGGAGCCCCAGGAAAATGCATGTCTAGGAATGGAGAACCGCGCATGCCCGTGGCCGACAGGAAAATCATTGGGAGGATCGAGTACAATCAATTATATGATTCATACGAGAGGAAACAGACTCGACTACGATTACTGGGCTGCATTGGGTAATCATGGATGGTCTTATGAGGAAGTACTGCCCTATTTCAAGAAGAGTGAAAAATTCAAAATTCCAAGTAAGTTGAGCACAGAAAGAAAATTTTTGAGAATAACCCTGATTATCAATGATTTTTATCATTGGAATTTGATTATAGCTTCCTGAATATTAGGGACAAATTCTCATTATTATTGAGAATAAAAACTTGGACGATCTATTGGGTATTATTATTCAGAATAGAAACTTTGTTCTTTTCCGTGAATGGGGGAAAAAAATTGGGAAAACGATTGTAAAAACAATTATTTATTAAACTCTTTTTCTGTGTTTGCAGATTGCTATAATGCATCTTATCACGGCACAAACGGAAATGTGTGCGTTGAATATGCCCCCTATCACACACCCCTCTCAACAGCATTCTTAGAGAGTGGAAGACTGATGGGATATAAAGTTCTGGATTACAATGGACCACAACAGCTTGGTTTTTCCTATCTTCAATTAAACATGGACCGAGGGGCCAGATGTAGTGCCTCAAAAGCATACCTAAGCTTGACTCGACCTAATTTGGACATTGTTACCGGAGCATTAGTAACTAAAGTACTAATCGACAGTAAGAAAAGTGCTTACGGTGTAAAAGTTGTGATAAAGAACGTCAGTTACAAAATCCTTGCAACGAAAGAGGTAATTTTATCCGCTGGAACAATTGCTACTCCTAAACTGCTGATGTTATCTGGAATTGGACCTAGAGAACATCTTGAAGAGCTCGGAATCGATGTAATCAAAGACGCGAAAGTCGGCTACAATCTCTATGAACACGTTGGATTCCTCGGCCTGACGTTTTTGGTGAATCAAAGTGTCAGCTTAATGGAAAAAAATATCTTGACAAAAGAACAGATGTGGAGATATGCTTTGGATAGATCAGGTCCACTTTCTGTTCCCGGTGGAGCCGAGGCTCTCGCATTTCTCCAAACAAAATATGCAACTGATGCTCGCCCCGATGTTGAACTGCTGTTTGTAGGTGGATCATTGCCTTCAGATAATGATATTGCGGTTCGAAAAGGCCTTGGTATAACTGATGAGCTATATAACACTGTCTACAAGCCAATTGAAAATATGGACGTGTGGTCAATCTGGCCCATTTGTCAAGCACCAAGAAGTCATGGGCGGATTAAACTGAAATCTACAAATCCATTAGTTCCTCCCAGTCTCGAGGCGAACCTCCTTGCAGATCCTTATGATATCGAAATTATTCTTGAAGGCATCAAAAAGGCTATAGAAATATCGCAATCCGAACCTTTCCAAAGATATGGCAGTAGACTTCACGATATTCCTATTCCAGGTTGTTGTAAATTGCCTTTTGCATCTGATGATTATTGGCGTTGTGCTATTCGTCACCTGCCTTCATTGATGGATCATGAGATCGGAACGGCGAAAATGGGACCCACTTATGATCCATCTGCCGTTGTTGATCCTGAACTGCGGGTATATGGCATTCAAAGACTGCGGGTCGTCGACGCCTCAATCATGCCAACCATGCCAGTGGGTCATATTAATGCAGGAATTTACATGATTGGGGAGAAAGCCGCAGATATGATCAAGCAAACATGGGCGACAGACATGTGTCACTAATTTGATAGTAAAGTTATCCTCTCGTTGAACACTTTGTTTACAAATAACCAACAACAATGAGCAATAACGGTCTGACCGTAGAGAATAAAGTTGCATTCTAAATAAAGAACTGAATTTCAAGTGTAAATAAATATTGAATATTGTTTTCACCGGACTGTAGACGTAAGCTTCCATAACGAATTATCAATAAAGTTCGATGATGAAAATACATCCAATCACCTGTGTAATTTATTGGATGCATATCGATCTGATAAATCTTCCACACTAAATCTATATAACTCGTCATGCAAAATATAATCCGAATTCGATCCCGCGTGTGAGTATTGAACTCAATTTTCAAGTATTCGGTATCTCATTTTTCTGTTCTATTTTCAGGATGTAAAATTTCACGAGAATGAGGGTAACAATACGAATATTGATTCCATTACTGCTGATGATAAATTCATCCGCAGGGATACATATTTTGGAACTTCTCGCTGATTATGGACTAACCGGCTCTTATGGAATGAGAATCGAAAAATTGCCCAGATTCGATGAATATGATTTCATCATTGTCGGGTCTGGGCCTGGTGGTGCTCCAGTGGCCAGTCGCCTGTCAGAAAATGGGAATTGGAAGGTTTTACTTCTAGAAGCTGGTAAACCAGAAGGAATTTTGCATCAAATACCGTCATTTTCTTTTCTGAGATCGGAATACGACTGGCAATATCAAACTGTGCCTCAGGAAAAGGCCTGCTTAGGGTTGATAGATCGTAGTGGTGCTTACTCACACGGAAAATCGGTGGGTGGTACGAGTTCCATAAATGGCATGGCTTACGTTAGAGGAAATAAAATTGATTTTGACCTTTGGGCTGAACAAGGGAATTATGGTTGGTCGTATAATGAGATATTGCCGTATTTCAAGAAGAGTGAACGGGCTAGACTTGAAGGTATGTAGAAGCTTTTTATCAACCGTACGGTTTATTCACATCTCATGCATTTTTCTTCAGAACCAGTGGACGAATTTTATCACGGCAAAGAGGGATATTTACACGTGCAGAATGGACCATGGCGCACCCCTCTCTCGGCAGCTTTCGTAAATTCAGCGAAAGAACTGGGGTACGACGTTATAGATTACAATGGGAGAAAGCAAGTTGGATTCTCTTATACCCATTTAACAATGTTAAATGGTTCCCGATACAGTGCTTCGAGAGCATTCCTTCGTGTAAAGCGGTTGAACTTGGATATTGTACCAGAAGCAACTGTAGCAAAAGTATTAATTGACAAGAACAATCGTGCCTATGGTGTACAGTTTATAAAAAACAACAGGACATACCAAATTACTGCTAATAAAGAGGTGGTTCTGTCAGCCGGTGGAATCAGCACACCCAAACTATTAATGCTGTCTGGAATTGGACCTAAAGAACATCTCGACGAATTGGGAATCGAAGTTGTAAAGGATGCTAAAGTTGGATATAATTTCCGTGATCATGTGGGTTTCATTGGACTCACATTTTTGGTGAACCAGAGTGTCAGTCTAACTGTAGGAAAAAGATTGGGCCCAGAAGCTGCAATAGAATATGCTGTCAATGGAACTGGGCCGCATTCTGCATATGGTACCGAGGCACTCGCATTCATCCGCACAAAATATGCAACTGATGCTAGACCAGATCTTGAACTGTTTTTTCTCGCAGCGGGAATGCATGTGAATAACGATAGAAGCTTCCAAAAGACGCGCCGTGTAACCCAAGAAATTTATGACACAGTTTGGAAGCCCCTTGAGGGCCAAGATGCCTGGATGATCATGCCAGCTGTTCAGCGCTCTCGAAGCACAGGACGCATTAAGCTGAAATCAGCTAATATCGAGGATCATCCTTGGATTAATCCCAACTTATTGGACAATCCAATCGATCTAGAAATTCTTGTAGAAGGTGTTAAACTCTCAATAGTGATATCTAAATCCAAAGCTTTCCAACAATATGGCAGTAAACTACATGATATAAAAATTCCTGGGTGCGAAAATTTCGAATTTGCTACGGATGATTACTGGTATTGCGCAGTTAAACATTTAACAATTCCCCTCCTTCATGAAGTCGGTGCCGCCAAGATGGGACCATCCACAGATTCTACTGCCGTCGTTGACCCTGAATTAAGAGTATATGGAGTAAACGGCTTGAGGGTCATCGATTCTTCTATTATGCCGGAGGTACCAGTGGGTCATTTAGCAGCAACAATTTACATGATCGCCGAAAAAGGTGCAGATATGATCAAACGTACATGGTCTACCTAGCAAATGCAGCATCAACTATTCCTTCTTACATGACCAATAATTCTTAGATGTATTTTGTATATTCCAATGATGCTTGTGTGGTTATTTGTAATCTAATGAATAAAGCTGCGAAATTGAATAATTTATGAATATAGTAACTCAAATCATAAGTTTTAATTACTAATCTGATGATCCATCATCGATGCATCCATTATGTCAAAAATACCGGTGGGTATCAATAGTCATCAATCAGTGAGATCGAAGGTCGAAGGTTTCCAGAATAACCCCACGAATAAATACCCCCATATGTTCCTAATGATTGAATTGAGAAAATGAATGGATCGAGGACGGCGTTGTTTCTCTGTGTCTGATATAACTAGGCATTTTTTGTAGCTTGCCACGTTCATCTTCTTCTTTAATGTTCATGATCCGATGGTAGTGAAGGAGAAGTTATATCGCATATCTCAATTACAAATGGAGTTTCATATGAGAATGTATATTTTCGTCAAAATGCCGGAAAAGAATTTCTCGAAGCGAGACTGAGGACTATAAAAACACGAACCAGAAGAGTTTTTTCGATCGAGAGACCAACAGAATTTTTCTTCATACTGTCGGCAAACGGCGTTTGACTTTTACTACAGAGTCCATATCTAATGGTAATTAATCGTGGAAAGGTATAGCTGATGTTGTATTTTTTAGCTAAGTCACCAAGGATGCGAAATCACGTCAAATTTGGAAATCCGTCGGGTTCGAAGAAAATGACCGTCATGTGACGATCATTATGACTATGATTATGTGATTATATAATCATCCATTTGTTCAGCATGATGGAATGCATGGGGACGGTCTGAGATGCTGACGATGAATTCTCAATGAATGATTTGATTGTCATTTGATTGATATTCAATCCAATACGGTGATTTGATTATTTTCCACAGATGGAACTGTCCCATTTCCAACGAAAATTGATTCACGTTGAATTCCGGATAGTCAATTAACTATGTTGAATGGTACACGATGCAGTGCTTCAAAACCTGTAAAGTTGCATTGTAAATGAAGAACTGAATTTCAAGTGTAAATAAATATTATTTTTATCGGACGACAGACATAAGCTTAAATAACGAATTATAAATAAAGTGCGATGATGAAAATACATTCAATCACCTGTGTAATTTATTGAATGCATATCGATCTCACAATTCTTTCATACTGAATCTATATAAGTTGTCACGGAAAGTATACTCCGTATTGGATCTCGCGGGTGAGTACTAGACTCAATTTTCAGATACTCAGGATCTAATTTTTCTGTTCTATTCTAAGTTTGTGAAATTTCAGAAAAATGAGGGTAACAATTCGAATCTTGGTTCCATTACTGCTGATGATAAATTCATCCGCAGGAATATATATTTTGGAGCTCCTCGCCGATTATGGACTAACACGCCCTTATGGAATGAGAATCGAAAATTTACCAAGATTCAATGAGTATGATTTCATCATTGTGGGTTCCGGGCCTGGTGGTGCTCCAGTAGCCAATCGCCTATCAGAAAATCAAAATTGGAAGGTTTTACTTCTAGAAGCTGGTAAACCAGAAGGAATTTTGCACCAAATACCGGCAGTTTCTTTGGTGGGATCGGAATACGACTGGCAATACGTGAGTGTACCTCAGAAAAAAGCCTCCTTAGGTTTGATAGATCGAAGAGGTGCCCACACAAAGGGAAAATCGGTGGGTGGTTCGAGTTCCATAAATGGCATGATTTACGCTAGAGGAAATAGAATTGATTTCGACCTTTGGGCTAAACAAGGAAACTATGGTTGGTCGTATGATGAGATATTGCCGTATTTCAAGAAGAGTGAACGAGCTAGACTGGAAGGTATGTAGAATTTTTTTTTTTCAACAGTAGCAGTTTATTTACATCCTATGCATTTGTCTTCAGAACCAGTCGACGACCATTATCATGGCAGGGAGGGATATTTACACGTGCAGAATGCACTGTGGCGCACGCCTCTTTCAACAGCTTTCGTAAATTCCGCGAAAGAACTAGGATATGACGTTATAGACTACAATGGGGAAAAGCAAGTTGGATTCTCCTATTCTCATTCGACAAGGTTGGATGGTTCGCGATGCAGTGCTTCGAGGGCATTCCTTCGTGTAAAGCGGTTGAACTTGGATATTGTACCAGAAGCGACTGTAGCAAAAGTATTAATTGACAAGAACAATCGTGCCTATGGTGTCGAGTTTATAAAAAACAACAAGACATACCGAATTAATGCGAGTAAAGAGGTGATTCTATCTGCCGGAACGATCAACACACCCCAACTATTGATGCTATCTGGAATTGGACCTAAAAAACATCTCGACGAATTGGGAATTAAAGTTGTAAAGGATGCGAAAGTTGGATATAACTTGTGTGATCATGTGAGTTTTCCTGGACTCACGTTTCTGGTGAACCAAAGTGTCAGTTTGATTCTAAAAAACATACGAACCCCAGAAAGTGCACTAGAATATGCTGTCAATGGAACTGGGCCGTATTCTACAACTGGTGGCGAAGCACTTGCATTCACCCGTACAAAATATGCAACTGATGTCAGACCAGACCTTGAATTGTTTTTTTCCGGAGGGGCGATGCATGCGGATAATGATGGAGGCCTTCGAGTGTCGCGCCGTGTGAGCCAAGAAATTTATGACACAGTTTGGAAGCCCATTGAGGGCCAAGACGCCTGGATGATCCTACCAGCTGTTCAACTATCTCGTAGCAAAGGACGCATTAAGCTAAAATCAACTAATATTGAGGATCATCCCATAATTGATCCCAACCTTTTGCACGATCCAATCGATTTAGAAATTCTTGTAGAAGGTATTAAACTCTCAATAGCGGTATCTAAAACCAAAGCTTTCCAACAATATGGCAGTAAACTACATGATATAAAAATTCCTGGGTGCGAGAATTTCGAATTTGCCACCGATGATTACTGGTATTGCGCAGCTAAACATTTAACAATTCCCTTCCTTCATGAAGTCGGTACCGCCAAGATGGGGCCATCCTCAGATTCTACTGCCGTCGTTGACCCTGAATTAAGAGTATATGGAGTAAAGGGTTTGAGGGTTGTCGATGCATCTATAATGCCGGAGGTACCAGTGGGTCATTTGGTGGCAACAGTTTACATGATCGGCGAAAAAGGTGCTGATATGATCAAATGTGCATGGTCTACCTAGAAAATGCAGCATCAACTATTCCTTCTCACATAACCAATAATCCTTGGATGTATTTATAATGTAGTGAATAAAGACGTGGGATTGAAAAATCTATCCATATAGTACCTCGAATCATAAGAATTAATTACCAATCGGATGATCATTCCATAACTGATCACAATGCAACCTTAAACTATAAGATACAATAATTTCGGAATGTGAATCGTTAGATATCGACTTAGATAATCAATGACGTTGGGTACTTCACGATATAGCAGCAACCTTCAATCATAACACTGTTGAAATGTTACCATCTACCAAAGTAAACAGTCCATTTATCAGCTATTGTTGAACCTCAATTACAAATGAATGGCATTGAAGGAGTGAGAGTCATCAATGCATCAATATTCATCAATCAGTGAGATCGAAGGTCAAAGGTTTCCAGAATAACCCCACGAATAAACACCCCCATATGTTCCTAATGACTGAATTGAGAAAATGAATGGATCGAGGACGGCGTTGTTTCTCTGTCTCTGATATAACTAAGTATTTTTGGTAGCTTGCCACGTTCATCTTCTTCTTCAATGTTCATGATCCGATGGTAGTGAAGGAGAAGTTATGTCGCATATCTCAATTACAAATGGAGTTTCATATGAAAATGTATATTTTCGTCAAAATGCCGGAAAAGAATTTCTCGAAGCGAAGCTGAGGACTATAAAAACACGAACCAGAAAAGTTTTTTCGATCGAGAGACCAACAGAATTTTTCTTCATACTGTCGGCAAACGGGGTTTGACTTTTACTACAGAGTCCATCTAATGGTAATTAATCGTGGAAAGGTATAGCTGATGTATTTTTTAGCTAAGTCACCAAGGATGCGAAATCACGTCAAATTTGAAAATCCGCCGGGTTCGAAGAAAATGACCGTCATGTGATGATCATTATGACTGTGATTATGTGATTATATACTCATCCCGTTGTTCAGCATGATGGAATGCATGGAGACGGTCTGAGATGCTGACGATGAATTCTCAATGAATGAGTTAATTGTCATTTGATTGATATTCAATCCAATACGGTGATTTGATTATTTTCCACAGATGGAACTGTCCCATTTCCAAAGAAAATTGATTCACGTTGAATTCCGGATAGTCAATTAACTATGTTGAATGGTACACGATGCAGTGCTTCAAAACCTGTAAAGTTGCATTGTAAATGAAGAACTGAATTTCAAGTGTAAATAAATATTATTTTTATCGGACGACAGACATTAGCTCAAATAACGAATTATAAATAAAGTGCGATGATGAAAATACATTCAATCACCTGTGTAATTTATTGAATGCATATCGATCTCACAATTCTTTCATACTTAATCTATATAAGTTGTCACGGAAAGTGTACTCCGTATTGGATCTCACGGGTGAGTACTAGACTCAATTTTCAGATACTCAGGATCTAATTTTTCTGTTCTATTCTAAGGGTGTGAAATTTCAGAAAAATGAAGGTAACAATTCGAATACTGGTTCCATTACTGCTGATGATAAATTCGTCCGCAGGGATATATATTTTGGAGCTCCTCGCCGATTATGGACTAACAGGCCCTTATGGAATGAGAATCGAAAAATTACCAAGATTCAAAGAGTATGATTTCATCATTGTGGGTTCCGGGGCTGGTGGTGCTCCAGTAGCCAATCGCCTATCAGAAAATCAAAATTGGAAGGTTTTACTTCTAGAAGCTGGTAAACCAGAAGGAATTTTGCACCAAATACCGGCAGTTTCTTTTGTGGGATCGGAATACGACTGGCAATACGTGAGTGTACCTCAGGAAAAAGCCTCCTTAGGTTTGATTGATCGAAGAGGTGCCCACACAAAGGGAAAATCAGTGGGTGGTTCGAGTTCCATAAATGGCATGGTTTACGCTAGAGGAAATAGAATTGATTTCGACCTTTGGGCTAAACAAGGAAATTATGGTTGGTCGTATGATGAGATATTGCCGTATTTCAAGAAGAGTGAACGAGCTAGACTGGAAGGTGTGTAGAAGTTTTTTTTTTCAACAGTAACAGTTTATTTACATCCCATGCATTTGTCTTCAGAACCAGTCGACGAACATTATCATGGCAGGGAGGGATATTTACACGTGCAGACTCCACTGTGGCGCACGCCTCTTTCAACAGCTTTCGTAAATTCCGCGAAAGAACTAGGATATGACGTTATAGACTACAATGGGGAAAAGCAAGTTGGATTCTCCTATTCTCATTCGACAAGGTTGGACGGTTCGCGATGCAGTGCTTCGAGGGCATTCCTTCGTGTAAAGCGGTTGAACTTGGATATTGTACCAGAAGCAACTGTAACAAAAGTATTAATTGACAAGAACAATCGTGCCTATGGTGTCGAGTTTATAAAAAACAACAGGACATACCGAATTAATGCGAGTAAAGAGGTGATTCTATCTGCCGGAACAATCAGCACACCCCAACTATTGATGCTATCTGGAATTGGACCTAAAAAACATCTCGACGAATTGGGAATTAAAGTTGTAAAGGATGCTAAAGTTGGATATAACTTCTGTGATCATGTGAGTTTTCCTGGACTCACGTTTCTGGTGAACCAGAGTGTCAGTCTGATTGTAAAAAACACACAAACCCCAGAAACTGCACTAGAATATGCTGTCAACGGAACTGGGCCGTATTCTACAACTGGTGGCGAAGCACTTGCATTCACCCGTACAAAATATGCAACTGATGCCAGACCAGACCTTGAATTGTTGTTTTTCGCAGGGGCACTGCATGCGGATAATGATGAAGGCTATCGAGCGGCGCGCCGTGTGAGCCAAGAAATTTATGACACAGTTTGGAAGCCCATTGAGGGCCAAGACGCCTGGATGATCCTACCAGCTGTTCAACTATCTCGTAGCAAAGGACGCATTAAGCTAAAATCAACTAATATTGAGGATCATCCCATAATTGATCCCAACCTTTTGCACGATCCAATCGATTTAGAAATTCTTGTAGAAGGTATTAAACTCTCAATAGCGGTATCTAAAACCAAAGCTTTCCAACAATATGGCAGCAAACTACATGATATCAAAATTCCTGGGTGTGAGAATTTCGAATTCGCCTCGGATGATTACTGGTATTGCGCACTTAAACTTTTAACGTATCCCTTCCTTCATGAAGTCGGTACCGCCAAGATGGGACCATCCTCAGATTCTACGGCCGTCGTTGACCCTGAATTAAGAGTATATGGAGTAAAGGGTTTGAGGGTTGTCGATGCATCTATAATGCCGGAGGTACCAGTGGGTCATTTGGTGGCAACAGTTTACATGATCGGCGAAAAAGGTGCTGATATGATCAAATGTGCATGGTCTACCTAGAAAATGCAGCATCAACTATTCCTTCTCACATAACCAATAATCCTTAGATGTTTATAATCTAGTGAATAAAGACGTGGGATTGAAAAATCTGTCCATATAGTACCTCGAATCATAAGAATTAATTACCAATCCGATGATCATTCCATAACTGATCACAATGCAACCTTAAACTATAAGATACAATAATTTCGGAATGTGAATCGTTAGATATAGACTCAGATAATCAATGACGTTGGGTACTTCACGATGTAGCTGCAACCTTCAATCATAACACTGTTGAAATGTTACCATCTACCAAAGTAGACAGTCCATTTATCAGCTATTGTTGAACCTCAATTACAAATGAATGGCAGTGAAAGAGTGAGAGTCATCAATGCATCCATCGCGTCAACAATACCGGTGGGTATCAATATTCATCAATCAGTGGGGTCGAAGGTCGAGGAAGCTTTCTAGAATAACGCTAGGAATGAACACGCCCACATGTTCCTAATGATTGAATTGAGAAAATTGATGGATCGAGGCCGGCATTGTTTCTCTCTGCATCATATAACTAAGAATATTTTTCACGTGTCTTGTCAAGCTCATGGTACTGGAGGGGATTTTTTGTCACGTATGAATATGCGGTAAGTCATGTGACAATCATTACGATTAGGCGATTATCTAATCATCCCCTTGTTCAGAATGATGAAATGCAAGGAGACGGCCTAAGATGCTGACGATGAATTTGTCAATCAACGATTTGATTTTCATTTGATTGATATTCATATCCAACTCTGCGATTTGGTTATTTTCCGCAGGTGGAAAATATAAGCTTACATAAGGAATGATAATACAATGTAATAATAAATAAACTTTGGATCACCTGCATAATTTATTGCATGCCGATAATTTTTCTGCACCTCAGCTATATATCTCGTTACACAACATACAATCCGTACTAGTGGGATCCCGGAATAAGTCAGTTATAGATGGTTGAAATTCTCTGAAAATGCGAATTTTAACTGGAATCCTCGTTTCATTATTGCTGATAATAAATTCATCAGCAGCAATACATATTCTGAGACTGCTCGCCAATTATGGACTGACAAACACTTACGCAATTAAAACGGAACAATTACCAAGATTCAGTGATTATGATTTCATTGTCGTTGGAGCCGGTCCTGGTGGTTCTCCAGTGACCAATCGTTTATCAGAGAATAAGAACTGGAGGATTTTACTCCTAGAGGCCGGTCAGCCGGAACGGATCTCGAATCAAATACCGATGTTGTCCTTTGTTAATTCCGAATACGATTGGAAATACAGGAGTGAGCCGCAGAGAAAAGCATGTCTAGGAATAATAAATCAAAGATGTCCCATTCCCAAAGGAAAATCGTTAGGTGGTACCACCACCATAAATGGTATGGTTTACTCGAGAGGACATAAATTGGATTTTGACATTTGGGCTGCACAGGGAAATTATGGTTGGTCATACGATGAAGTCCTGCCATATTTCAAGAAGAGTGAACGCGCAAATCTTAATGGTATGTAACAATTTTCTTTATTTGTAGAAAGTGATTGATGAAAATTTGAATGATTTTTTTTTTCTTCAGAGCCAGTGGATGAATCGTATCACGGCAGAGATGGGTATGTACATGTGCAAAATGCTCCTTGGCGTACTCCTCTCACAGCAGCATTTTTAGAATCCGGGAAAGAACTGGGATACGATGTTATCGACTACAATGGACAACGACAGATTGGATTCTCGGATAGTCAATTGACTATGTTGAATGGTACACGATGCAGTGCTTCAAAAGCATATCTACGGATAAACCGGTCAAACTTGGATATCGTGACAGAAGCAACAGTATCGAGAGTATTAATTGATGAGAAGAATCATGCGTACGGCGTAGAGTTCATCAAACACAATAAATCATATCGAATTAATGCTAGAAAAGAGGTGATCTTATCAGCCGGCACAATCAACACACCGCAAATATTGATGCTTTCTGGAATTGGACCCAAAGAGCATCTTCAAGAGTTGGGAATCAACGTTGTGAAGGATGCTAAAGTTGGGTATAATTTTTGTGACCATGTTGCTTTCTCTGGTCTCACGTTCTTGGTGAACCAAAGTGTCACGTTGCTTGCAAAAAATACACTAACACCAAGAGCTGTACTCCAATACGCTATTCAAGGAACTGGACCATATTCTACAACTGGCCCCGCGGCCGTAGCATTCACTCGTACAAAATACGCAACTGATGAGCGACCAGATCTCGAATTACTTTTCCGCGCAGGATCATTCCACAGCGATAATGATGGAAGCTTCCGAAAAGCACGACGTATTAGCCAAGAAGTTTATGACACAGTTTGGAAGCCTATCATAGGTCAACATGCCTGGACAATTTGGCCGAGTGTGCAACTTGCTCATAGTAAGGGACGCATCACATTGAATTCAACCAATATTCGGGATCCTCCACTAATTGATCCCAACCTCTTGGACAATCCAATCGATGTGGAAATTCTTGTTGAAGGAGTTAAACTCGCGATAGAGATATCTAAATCTCAAGCTTTTCAGAAATACGGCAGTAAAATGCATGAGATAAAAATCCCTGGGTGTGAGTCGTTAGAATTCGCCTCGGATGATTACTGGCGTTGCGCAATTCGCCATGTCACAAGTACCTTTAATCATGAGATGGGAACTGCTAAAATGGGTCCAACTACAGACTCTGCAGCTGTTGTTGATCCGGAATTACGAGTACATGGAGTTGGAGGACTGAGGGTCATCGATGCTTCAATCATGCCGGAAATACCAGTGGGACATTTGTCAGCCACAAGTTACATGATCGCCGAGAAAGGTGCTGATATGATTAAAAAATCATGGCAGGCTTAAGAATTATATCAACATTCTCTCCCTGAACTATTAGCTACTATTATCATTCACTAAAAATATCTCCAAATATTGGAATTAAATTATCAATCTGACGAAGTGTCTAGTAACTAAATTGTACTCGTCACTGCGATTTGTTTATTTTTTCAAAATCGCAGACATAAACGCAAATAAAGAATGGGAAAGGAGATGTGATGATAAAAATGTACAAATCACCTGTGTTATTTATGACATGTATATTGATCCAACAATAACACGTCCAATTATTTCAAAACACGCTATATAAATCGTGTTTCAAGTAAAAATCGTGAAATTTGGTTTCCGGGGTAAGTAAATCGCGGAGAGTTGAACATTTCACAAATTTTGCAATTTCATTTTTTTTTATTCATCTGAGCGATTCCAAATTCCAGAAAGATGAGGGCGATAGTTCAAATTTTAATTCCATTACTGCTGATGATAAATTCATCGGCAGGAATACATATATTGGAACTCCTAAAAAATTACGGACTAACGAACACCTATGCCATCAAAACCCAACCATTACCCAGATTTTCTGACTATGACTTTATTGTCGTTGGTTCTGGTCCTGGTGGTGCCCCAGTAGCCAATCGACTATCTGAAAATAGAAACTGGAAGGTTTTGCTTCTCGAAGCCGGTAAACCAGAAGGAATTTTGAATCAAGTACCGATGCTTTCTTTCGTGAATTCTGAATATGACTGGCAATACACAATCGAGCCTCAGAAAAAGGCATGCTTGGGTATAATAGACAGGAGGTGTCCCTATCCAAAGGGAAAAGCGCTGGGTGGTTCCAGCACCATCAACAGCATGGTTTACTCCAGAGGAAATAAGCTAGATTTCGACCTTTGGGCTCAGCAGGGAAATTACGGTTGGTCATATGATGACGTGTTACCATATTTCAAGAAGAGTGAACGTGCCAAACTTCGAGGTACGTAACAAGCCCTCAGCTACATTTCTCATACTAGTATACCTCATATATATGATTATTTTGTCTTCAGAGACAGTGGATGAATCGTATCATGGTAAGAGTGGATATTTACACGTGCAGGATGTTTCATGGCGAACACCCCTCGCAAGCAAATTTTTGGAATCTGGGAGAGAACTGGGCTACGATATCATTGATTACAATGGGCGACGACAGATTGGATTTTCATACGGCCAATTCATGATGCTGGATGGTACACGGTGCAGTTCATCAAAAGCATACCTACAAGTCAGGCGATCAAACTTGGATATTGTAACAGAGGCGAGAGTATCGCGGGTACTAATTGACGGAAACAATTGTGCCTATGGTGTGGAGTTCACGAAAAACAATAGAACATATCGAATTAATGCAAGCAAAGAGGTGATTCTGTCAGCCGGGGCAATTGACACGCCGAAGCTTCTAATGCTGTCCGGAATTGGACCCAAAGAGCATCTGGAGGAATTGGGAATCAGAGTGGTAAAAGATGCTAAAGTTGGATATAATCTTTGTGACCACGTGGCTTTTGCTGGACTCACGTTTTTGGTGAATCAAAGTGTCACTCTAATCCAGAAAAACGTTGAAACAACAAAAGCTGTACTTCAATACGCCATCAAAGGCACTGGGCCATATTCTACACCTAATGCTAACGAAGGCCTCGCATTCGTTCGCACAAAATACGCAAAAGACGTTCGACCAGATGTAGAATTGGTATTTCGTACATCAACATTCAATGGGGATAACGAGGAAAACTTCCGAAGGGGACGTCGTGTCACTCAAGAAATTTATGACGCCGTTTGGAAGCCCATTGAGGGTCAAGATGCCTGGGCGATTTGGCCCGCCGTGCAACTTATTCAGAGTAAGGGACGCATCAAATTGAGATCAACTAATATTAATGATCACCCCTTAATTGATCCTAATCTCTTCGACGATTCAAACGATCTGGAAACTCTGGTTGAAGCTGTTAAAATTGCAATAAAGGTATCTGAATCTAAAGCTTTTCAGCAATATGGCACTAAACTACATGATACAAAAATTCCTGGATGTGAGTCATTTGAATTCGGCACGGATGATTACTGGCGTTGCGCAATCCAACATGTAACAGTTACCTTCAATCATGACATGGGTACTGTTAAAATGGGACCATCAACAGACTCATCTGCTGTTGTTGATCCGGAATTACGAGTGTATGGAATTGGAGGATTGAGGGTCATTGACGCATCCATCATGCCAGAAATGCCAGTGGGTCATTTGTCAGCGACAACTTACATGATCGCCGAGAAAGGCGCTGATATGATTAAAAAATCGTGGTAGGATTGAACACTACCCGATGAATCTTCTTTATGTATCATAAATTCTTCCCTACCAGTTGTGATGAATTTTAATGATCCCATAATTGATCTTTTTTTTACGATCTTGGGGCTCTGGTTGGAGCTATTAAACTAACATTAGAGTTATCTAAATCCCAAGCTTTTCATTAATGTTATAATGAAATTCTTGTCTATGAGTCATTCGAATTGGGCTCACATGTTTACTACCGTTAAAATATGACCACCTACCGACTCATCTGTTGTTGTTGACCCTGAATTACGAATGTGTGGATTTCAAGGACTGAGGGTGGTCGATGCTTTCATCGTACCGACAGCACCAGTGGGTTATTTACCAACAATTTACCTGATCACCGAGAAGGGCGCTGATTTAATTAAAAAATCATGAAAAAATCAACAAGTTGCGATGAATTTTAATGACCCCATAATTGGTCGGAATTTCTTTTCGATAATAAAACTATTGTGAAACTATGGTCGAAGCTATTAAACTAACATTAGTTATCTAAATCCCAAACTTTTCACTAAAGTAATATACAAATTCCTGAACGTGTTTTTTTTCTTTTTTCTTGTTTCAGTTATTCTTATTACTTTGTCTTATACTCTTAAATTATCACTGTTAAGAACTTCTTAACAGTAATAATTTAAGAGTATTGATTCTATTGATTCTAATAATTTTTTTTATTAAAAAAATCCTGAATGTGAGCCATCAGAATTTGGCTTTAATCATAACATGGGGACTGTTTAAATCTGATTATCTGCAGACTCATCTGCTACTGTTGACCCTGAATTACGAATGCATGGATTTAAAGGAGTGAGGATGGCCGATGCTTTCATCATACCAGAAGTATCAGCGGATTTTTTTTAGCAACAACAATTAACATGTCACTAAAAGAGGTGCTGATTTAATAAAACATCATCAAAGACTCAACCACTACCCCTCAAATTATTCCCCCCCATCCCCAGCAGTGTAATAAACTTCCAAATGAACTAGCCACTAAAAATCTATTGCCGGACGGTCTATATTACTCATGTTTCCATCCATCCACGTCGTACAACGAATTTGTCAGTGTAGGCATGCTGTATGACTCATCTCCTCCAGAACGCATGCATCAGCAGGAAGAGCGAGATACTGACAAAAACAACGTTATATAAAGCCACCAGCTCATCTACAAATCAACACAATAAAATCCAAAGCCCGGAGAAACCCCTTTTCCTCAATACCGGCGACAGATCCCAACGATAACCTCGAATTATGACACAATCGTTCTTATCAGTACCCTCGCTCCCCCAGCGCACCAATTGTCAATACTGAGAAAATTTAAAAACCCATGACGCAAAATAAACAAACATTAAACAAGCAATCATGCGTAAATTGCAGTATTCAACAAATAAATATACCTGATACAACAAGAGCTTCATTTGGGCCGCAAGTGTGTACGTTTCCCATGGTAAAACCAGATAAATGTTATCCTTGTACTGTTTTTCCTTGGATGAAAAAAAAAATGATAAATACACAGGGCTCACGAGACACGAAATAATGTTTCAATTAATATTTTCTAATTGTCACTAACGACCACTGATTCCCATGTGAACCCAATAGCTAAACTATAACCCCGCGTATACGATGTACAACACTACGTCAAAACCTTCACTTTACACTTTTTATTTTCGTTCACTCTTTTTTTTCTCTTTCGTCGTGAGTCCCGGAGCCACCGCGGAAATTTTACCCGAAAGCCACTGCCCAAACCCCAAACACACGCACACCGACGCGATGAATGCACAACACTGGAAGGGCAGAGGTGCCAACGTTGGGTAAACAAAATGGCGCGATGATCGCGCCCAGTTCCGGTGTGTTTGGATCAGTTTGGATGTTTGGAATATTTTCGCGAAGCATCTTATAACCTCTAAGTAACATTTCACTGTTTCAAATGATAACGTGACGTTATTTATCGGTTAAATAGGGAAAAGACCAGTGAAATTATTTGGGAAACATTATTGCTGCGAGAATTGGTGGGAATGGTTGTGGGTAAAGTGAAAAATCGAGGGATTGAGAGATGTTTTGGGCAATGTTGATGCACTATTGGAGCACCTGTCCTGCTGTTACCACGTAATGCACTCGATTGTTTGGTAGTTCAGGACATTGCGAGATGAACAAGAGTAGCATGAATACCCCACAATCGAATAAGAAGAAGAGGAGCAGGATGGGGGTGAAGAATGATACCACTGCAGCGGCTAATCAGGAAGTACTTAGTCCGCAGGAAGCCACACGTTTTGTTCTGGTAAAATTTAATTATCAAAGTATAAATATTCGATGCAGTTTGGGGATTGGGGAGAATGGGGGTGAATGAATCCCTGACAATTTTTGGTTGATTTTTAAGGTAGTTTTTCAGGCTTGAAAAATGAGTCGTAATTTGGTTGAATAGTATCGTTTTTTGGGGGATAGTTATCATTTTTAAATGTTCTATATCCACAATAATTTAGGAATAGTGAAGATTGGAATATAATGGACTGGATTTAGTTGTTAATAACTCGACAATAGGGAAATTAAGTTTCACGATTTTTTAGTCATTTTTAAGGTAATTTTTCAGGCTTGAAAAATTAGACCCGATTTATTTGAAACGTATTGTTTAATCAGGCAGATGGTGTTGATTTCTAAAAGTTACATTTTCACTAGAATTCAGTAGCGAAGTGGTAAAACGGTACAATTCAATTTTGACTATTGACCACTTTTCAATGAATATCTCAGAATCTAAGGGGGATAGCAGAATTTTTGTTAAATCTTTTTTGTAAAGCCGATTGAGTGCTGCAAAAAATGTAATTACAAAAATTTCGTTATTACCCTTACATTCGGAAATATTCCTCAAAAACTCACTTCGCTACTGAATTTATTAATAGAGGAGATTGGAATAAAATGTATTGTTTTTAATCTTCAGTATCTCAAGATTGACATCGAGAAGTTTAACAAATCTCTACGTCATTCTAGTCCTATTATTCCAGACACAAAAATGCGGCTCAATTCGTTCAAATCGTATCGTTCACTTAGAAAAGTTCTACGATTTAATAAAATCCTCTTTACTCACCACTAAAAAATCCTTCACTAAAATTTCCCATCGCTTTCAGATGAACCCCCTGGGCGACGAACTAGGGAAGACCTACAAAATCGCCATAAACAATGGTATTCCGATAGCATCAGTGGACGACCTCGACATAGACGAGAAGAAGCTCCTGTCCCAGACCCTCGAAAAAGAGAAAGAAGACAAAGCCATCTTGAGCACTCTACCGGTAGCAGTGGTGAAGGAGTTGGAGGGTTACGAGGACCAAATTGGTGAGGCAGAGCCCCTCCCAAATTCGTACGTAAGATTTATGGAGAGGAGTGGAGAGGAGCTCGATGGGGAAGTTGAATACGACCTGGACGAGGAGGATTCTGCCTGGTTGGCAGTTGTCAATGAACGAAGAATCTCGTCGGGACTGCCTCCAATGGAGCCAGATACCTTCGAGCTTCTGATGGATAGGTAGATCTTTTATCAAATCCCCTGAAGTTACATAAACCCTAATTTGATATTTACAAGAGTTTAAATTTCACGTGTCGTGCATCTGTGGAAAAATTTCATGAAAAAACCTTTCTCCAAAAAATTCTTTTGAATTTTATGAATAAAATTCAATAGAATCTGTAGATAAAATTCTAACGATGCTTTTATTTGAATAAACAAATAGAGTTTCAATAGAAATTCAATAAGAATTTCTCAGAGAAATTCCCATGTTTTTCTACTAATTTTTTTTACACGTCTGCACTCCTTGAAAGTCTATTTCGCTATTCAGCTTTGATTATTTTCTACATTAGGTTAGAGAAGGAGTCGTATTTTCAGCAGCAGAGCAATGGAGGTGGGGGTGTAGCTGCTGATGAAGATGCGGTTTGCTGCATTTGCATGGATGGGGAGTGCCAGAACAGCAATGCCATATTATTCTGTGACATGTGTAATCTAGCTGTTCACCAGGACTGCTATGGGGTACCTTATATTCCAGAGGGTCAGTGGCTCTGCAGGAGGTGCCTCCAGAGCCCCTCCAGAGCAGTAGACTGCGTTCTCTGTCCAAATCGAGGTGGAGCATTCAAGCAAACTGATCGTCCAGCGACCTGGGCGCACGTCGTCTGCGCTCTCTGGATACCAGAAGTTCGTTTTGCTAATACTGTTTTCCTCGAGCCCATCGACAGCATCGAAAGCATTCCTGCGGCCAGGTGGAGGCTCACCTGTTGTGTTTGCAAGAGGAGAAGTGCTGGTGCCTGCATACAGTGTCACAAGAGCAATTGTTATGCTGCTTTTCATGTGACTTGTGCACAGCAGGCGGGCTTGTGCATGAGGATGAGAACTGTTCAGCCGGCTAATGGGGAGCCCATGCTCGTGCAGAAGACTGCTTACTGCGAGGCACATACACCACCCGATTTTCAACCGTCTACCAATCCTGCCGAGGCTAGGAGAAGGGCTATTGCTAATAAGAAGACGTCGTCAGCACCGGTTATCTCTATTCCCACTATTCCCCCGGAGAGGATTAGAGAAATTGCTAGGTGAATTTTTCATGGGACAGGCTGAACGCCTTCTTTCCATTTTTCTATGATGAATTTTTAATGGTTTTGGTAACTACTATGGGAAAAAATGGCAAAAAATTATATTTGTAAGGAGGTTATCATGAAATTTCTGGATGAAATTTCCGTAAACTCTTTGAGAAATTTTTCATCACGAAAAATCTATGAAAATTGTTAATTGGAGTTCGTCTATTATTTGCTTCATTTACTACTCATTCGTTTTGAATAAATTCCGAGATCCAAGGGAGCTTGAAACATTCTACTCTCATAAATAAGCTCTTTCAATCATCAAAAACCTTTCTAAAATCTTGAAATTCCAATAAAAAAAAATGTACTGTAAAATTTTCTTTATAATCTTTTAGTTTTACACCCATTCTGCAAGAGACCGACGAGACACTCTTCTTATTCACAATTTATCCAGCTGAAAAAAATCAACACAAAAAAAAACATTATTCATTTTCAAGACGAATGAATAATGAAAAACAAACATTTGCACTCAACCCACTTATATCATTACTTTACAACATTCCGTCAACGAATTTTCTTCCCTTGCAGCCTCGCCGAAGGTCTCCCCAAGCGAAGTCAGTTGATCCAGCGGCTGATAGCCTACTGGACCCTCAAACGTCAGCACAGAAACGGCGTTCCCCTCCTCCGTCGTCTCCAGAGTTCCCACCCCCACGGTAGACCACCTCCGCTCGGAGGGCACTCGCCTGCTCCCGACGGTGAACTCCGGGGTGAGCTCTACCGTCAGCTGAAATACTGGCAGTGCTTGCGTCAAGACCTGGAGCGAGCGAGATTGCTGTGCGAACTCGTTCGTAAACGTGAGAAACTCAAGAAAGAGCTGTTCAAAGTGAAGGAAAAGTGTCTGTGGTTCGAGCTCAGGCCCCTGGAGAGCGTTCTCCAGACATTGTTGGAGGCTATCAAAGCCAAGGACACTAACGACGTCTTCGGACAGCCCGTCAACATCAGCGAGGTGCCAGATTACCTGGAGATAGTCTCCCAGCCGATGGACCTCTCGACAATGGAGACGAAAATTGAGAAGCAAGAGTACAACAGTCTCTCTGATTTTCAGAGTGACTTCACCCTCATGGTGAACAACTGTCTTGCCTACAACTGCAAAGACACGATGTTCTACAGAGCTGGGCTCAAAATGCGGGAGCAGGGGGGAGCCCTGATCGATCAGGTCCGCAAGGATTACCCTGAACTCGACCCTCATCCCCCGGTTGTCGATCAGACAACGAAATCGAGAAAACGAGAACGAGTGAGTAGAAGTCGAACGGAGTCAGAGAGTCAGAGTGGGGAGAAGGAAATTGTTGGGGTAAATCGAAGAACTGCGGTTTTATTCACGAGGAAGGCCAAGGCCAGGGCCAGCAAGGGGGGACAGACACCTGTTAGTGAGGAGCTGAGGAAGCAGACGGACAGCTTCAGGGTTTACAGGTAGGAGTGCTAAATTACCTTCATTTCGTACGTAATTTAATGTGTTAAGTCACTGGTAAAAGACATTTCATAAAAGTCTATCTTTTTTGCTTTACATTTTGGGGTAAAATGGAGCTATCGAAGTACAATAAAGTTCAATAAAGTAAAAACCACAAATGTAAATGGAACGAGTTTTTTCTTAATTAACTTGAGGATATCCAAGTATTTTTTGCAGTTGATAGAATACACTATAGATTCAATCATTTTCAATCATCAAATTTGGCAATTGAAATGCGTGAGAAAAATTTGAAGAAAAAATCAGGAATCTCCAGCGTCATTAAAATTACATTTTGCACAGAATTATTATTTTTTTAATCTCCTTCCAAACGTTTATTTTTGAATGACTTTTCAGATTTTTAAAATGTTTTTTAGTTGTCAATGGCAATCTCCGCTGCATTAAAATTCACCATCAGAATTCTTTTCTTATGATTCTTGTGACACGAGATTTTTTAATTTTCTGTTGTCCTTATTTACAGGAGTGGGAATATGGACAGTGATATTGGGGAGGGGGACAGCCAGTCTTCGAGCTGCAGCAGCTGCTCTACGAGTAGATCGACGACACCTGAACCTGAGGAGGAAGAGGAGGAGGAAGAGGAAGAGGAGGATCGGGAGCAGCAGGAGGAGGAGGAGGACGATGAGGAGGAAGAGGAGGAGGAGGAGGACAGCGAGCCGCCGCCTTCCCCGAAGAAGATTAAGGACAATGAGAAGAGCAAAGTTAGGGGCGAGGGTCGTCTCGAAGCACTGACACTCGTCTGGGCCAAGTGTCGGGGCTATCCGTGGTATCCTGCCTTGATTATTGATCCTAACACTCCGAGGGGAACTGTTCATAAAGGGGTGCCCATTCCAGCACCTCCTGATGATGTTCTGGCACTTGCGGTTAATTATAAGGATCCTGTGCATCTTGTTCTGTTTTTTGATACCAAGAGAACATGGTGAATCAGTTTAATGGATTTTTTCATTTTTTGCGGCATGAATGAGGTTTACACTATGAAATATTTTCATCAAGCGACCGTCTTACTTGAATTTTAAGGAATCTCGTCCTTGAAAATTCATAGTTTGATGAAAAAAATTATGAAAACTGAAAATTTCTGAATAATTCTTCCATACAAATGACAGAAATCATAAAAATTCCGGTGAATTGAGGTCAATTCATTCTTGAATTTCAAATTGATTGGAAGTTCTGCCCAATTTGGTTTTCAATATTCAAGTTTTTATTTAAAAAATCAAGTATGTTGAAATTGTCGTCTTCCTACTGCTCTCAATTGAATTCAATGTCACTTTTTTGAAAATTAATATTAAATGTCCATAAAATTTTAATTTTTCTCTACAGTATAATGTATTGTTTTCCTTTATTTTGTGCAATATTGATTGATTTCAGGCAGTGGTTACCTGGTGAAAAATTAGAGAAACTAGGGGTTTCCCAAAAAGTCGACGAAGCTAAACTAATCGAATCTCGAAAGCCGGCTGATCGTAAAGCTGTCAAGAAGGCGTACCAGGAGGCACTCCATTACCGCAAACAAACACATAATACGGCATTCAATACAGTATCATCGTCCTAGTTAATGGTATTAAAATAGATATCCTTTTTTATTAGAAAACGCAATTTGTTCATATCAAAAGACATACGAAAAGAACATAAACATAATTTTTGATGAATAGTTTTGTGTTTTCATTACTCCTGTTTTTTCTTTATGACTTGAGGCTTGAAGTCGGGGTTGGTAGCTTTGGTGAAGGCTTCGGCGTACATCGCCAGTCTCTGGGTCATCTGTATGATAATTAAATTTATCATTAACTTTATCAACATTTCAGGAGCTATTTTTTGTTAATTGATTAAATTATGATTTCTCATCCTCATTTTTTTTATCTGCTTATTCATTTCTCATTCATTCATTATCGATTGAATAGATAACAACATATTTATATTAAACTTTTCTCCTATTAATTTTTGATAAATTCCAAAGTATATTTGAATGTTTTACTAATTGAAAAATTTCTCAGAAGTTTTTAAAATTTTGCAAAATTTCCATGGATTCTTATATTTGGAAAAAAATCAGAATGTTTGAAATTTTTAGTGATAAAAAAATGAGGTGATAAAAAATATAACAGAAGCATACTCGAAAACCCCAGTGATCGTTCGTATGACGACAGGCATTAAGATCCATCTCAACGATGAGTAAGCCATCTCTATGACGACTCAAACCAGGAGTGCGAGTGCCATTGGGTGCAGTTACGTAACTAGATCCGTAAAAATGTCCAAAGTCTTTGTGAGCAGGCTTCCCATCGCCCGATGTAAATTCATTGGGGAACGTTTCAGTTCCAACACGATTTATAGCACAGGTAAAGTAGCTGTTCGCTATCGCGGCGCATCGGGCTTCAACGGGCCAGAGAGGCTCAGACAAGGCGCCCACAGTTGCCGAGGGATTGAACACAATCTAGTAGATTAAATTATTCATTCAATCATAGTCATGAGGCTTTTCCGGGTGTTAAATCGGATTTATTTAATTTATTGAGAGATAATGGGGTAGTATTCAATGCGAGAATGTTCATCATTTCATTGTTATTTTTTTCCAAGTGATATCCAATGAAGAAAAATCAATAGAAAAACGTAATTCGTAAGAAATTCTATTAAAAATTCAATCTATTTTTTTGGGCTATTTATAGAATTTCATCGCAACATTTTCTTGAGAGATAGGTGATAGAAAAAATTCCAATAGACTGAGTTATACAGGAAAACACCATCTATAGGCATTTTTTATAAATATGTATTTAAAAAGGCATGAAGAAGTTGCATAATTTTTCAATAGAATTCCTACGGAGTTCCAAAAGAAATTCTAAAGAATTTCGCAGAAAAGAACGATTTCCACACTTTACTATGTTTCTTCAAAAGAATCTTCCTAGTGAGGGTAGTTCTAGGTGAAATTTTCATGACGCCTAATGATTATTGAAGGCATCGAATTTAATTACCTCTGCTCCATTAATTCCAAACATCGCCCAATTCAAGGGATGATGCCGTCCATAGCAAATGTTGACACCAATTTTTCCAAATTGCGTCTCAAAAACTGGGTGGCCAGTATCGCCCTCCATATAATACGTGGATTCGTTGAAATCCCCAACTCTTGGGATGTGATTCTTCCTGTGCTTGCCCAGTACTTGGCCATCAGTGTCGATTACAACAGCAGTATTCCAGAGGATATTCCCGTGAACGCTGTCTCGTTCCAGGATGGGGGATATTATCACCATTTCATGAATTTTAGCAAGCTTGGATAATAATTTTGTGCTGGGGCCGGTCAGTGCGTCTTCGGCGAATTCAACCCATGGGTATTTCTCTCTTGTACAGAATGCAAAAGGCATGTCTGGAAATTATAAATTCGTCTGTGAAATTTCCTCTTTATTTTGAACATTGAATGCTGAATTAAAATAAATAATTGCCTGCATTTTTGTAATTTTTTTATCATTTTCATTGCTCGAATTTCGTATGAATTACTCTTTGCTAAACACTCGAAGACTTTGACTTGAAATTTTCTTGTGGCAAACAGAATGAAATGATCAAAGGAATAAACAATTGCATACGAAAATGATTTTACTTGTGGACTTGAAGAACTATTTAGCCTATCGAATATCATTTAAATAATTATTGCATACTCCAGGCCTCTTGCAGACAAACAATGTTGACATTGGCCCTTCCTGCCACTTCTATGTACCCCTCAATTTTACTATGAATAGCATTTCGTTGGTCAACCACTGGTGCTTCTGTGGGAAGAACGATTGAATTTTGGATTAGTCCCACTCGAACTATCCTCCGGGGATTCGTTGACTCCTCCCGAGCAATGTCCACCAAAGAGTAACTGTTCACGTCGAAATCAGTCACATCCCGAATAATGCCTTGGAGGCTGGAAATAGTTTTTATTACCAATGGGAGTAGATTGAAGGAGTATCCCCATTTATTAATAACAACGTTTGATTAATGAATTTCTTGTTCATGAAGAAATCCATATTTTTTGAAAGAGCCCATGTTATATTCCGAAAATAACATCGAATTATCTCGTAAAACTCTCAAGCCTCTCCTTTCAGACATAAACTTTCTAATGTTTCTTCAGATTTTTAAAATGTATTTTAATTGTCAATGGCAAACGAACAATCGTTGACAATTTTTAATTTGAAAAAGTACATCATAAGTGATTTCTCATGAAGAGCTTTGAAATCATCGTAATTTTCTAAATAAATTGAATAGTCTTTGGCTGAATATCAGAAGCTTCGAAAAAACTGAAATTAAAAAATAGTAAAATAATTGATAATGTGGAATTGTCAATTGTCTACTGAGTAAATAATACTAAATTTCATAAAAAGGATTTTCGATTAATCAAATAATCGTTAATCTTCCTAACTAAATTATTGATTAATACATAATTCGGAATTTAAATATTTAACTGATGATTAATTTAATAATTAAAAATTGTACAGTAATATTGACGAATTGACTAGTTTAAAATGTAACGGTAATTTAAATTTATTATTATGGCTTTTTCATGAAGAAATCCATATTTTTTTAAAGAGCCCATTTTATATTCCGAAAATACCATCGAATTATCTCGTAAAACTCTCAAGCCTCTCATTTTTTCAGAGTTTTCTTTGCATTCTTGGCACGCCGCCTCAACCCAATTTTTTGACATGAATAAAAAACTCCGAATGGTTATTATTCATACCTGCAGCCCTCCCCATACAAAACGGCCAATGTTTTTTGCAACTCAGGCTCGGGAATATATTTCTCGAGTGTTGCTCTCAGATTAAAGTCTTCCATCTTGAGGCTGCACGTACGACTGACTGAGTATTTATCAACGACGTCGTTATCAATTGATCTAAAAAGTGGGTCGAGTGCCCTGTCACTCCCTGGAATTTAATTTGTTTGTTTGGACGCTCAATGCAGTTCACGTTTTCAACGAGAAAGTCGCCCACGTCGTCCGTTGTTTACAATTTCACACGTGTGACAAGAAACTGTTTTTTGAAAGGGAAAATAGGATTAATTAAGTGTAACAATGGGAGAGAATCAGGGACCTATTATTTGTGTTCCTGGTAATGTAACAGATGTTTTAATGAATATTTGTCGCCCTTTTGGAAGCTCGGAGTGGATTTTCTAACCTATTTTCTCCACTTCTTGCAGGCCAGAGGCTGTGTCCAGCGAATAAAACTAGTCTTCCCGGACCTGGAACTTACGAATTGAATGGATATATTTATGCCAAGTTGGCTGGGACCGTTGAAATATTGGAGGACGATAATGTAAACGAATATTCAAGTTATCAAGATGACTTGATTTATCATGTTCCATTTTATTTCACTCTCAATTTCTTCATTCAACATTTTTCAACGTATTTCAGACTAAAACGATAATTGTTCATGGCACAACAGAGCAGAGCATCGTTCCAACGCCCGGTGACATTGTCACAGCAATGGTAACAGTGGTGAATCAAAGATTCTGTAAATGCATCATGAAATGCATTGGAGATACTGTTCTGACGAGGACTTACAGGGGAATATTGCGGAAAGAGGATGTTAGGGCAACTGAGAAGGACAGGGTGGAATTGTACAAGTCGTTTCGACCTGGGGATATCATTCTCGCTCGAGTTGTATCCTTTTTCAATTGTTGCAATATCTACGTCTACACCTACATTTCTCAATTAAAAAAAAATTAATTGTCATTTTTTTTACAAACGGAAGAATGCCCATTTATTCATTTTATAATTTTTCTTCGATAAAATTGCATTAAAAAATGCAGAGAATGCAAATTGACAATTAAAAAATAATAGAATGGAGAAAAAATGGAGAATGAAAAATTGTTATGGAGACATAATTAACTCTCACGCTATGAATTAATTTAGAGTAATTAATTAATAATTAATTGTTAGAATGAAAGAGGAAAAATAATCATGAAAACATTGCGAGTATGAAAAATTCGGTAGAAACCAATAATTTTCTATGAATTCCTTATTATTCATTAACAGATGCCCATGACTGAAGCCCACACCTACTCATTAAGTACAGCTGAGAATGAATTGGGTGTTGTTGTTGCTCACAGCGAAGAAGGTCTGCATAAAAATGATATTCCGCAATTAAATTTCTCAGCTCTTGTTGAATCCTTATTAATCTTGATAATGAGTAGATGAATAACAACAATAATGTTTTCCAGGAGTTTCTATGGTACCAATCAGTTGGACGGAGATGCAGTGCCCCAAGACACTCACTAAAGAATTTCGAAAAGTTGCGAAAGTTATTCCTGAACATGTTATCACTGAAACTGAATGTATCATTCTTCGTCATGGGAATGATTAATTGTACTTTAATAAAATATCCAAAAGGTTTTATTAATAAATTTGTTATTCATTATTTTTCATTCTCATTTTAATTTTCCAAATACTTTTGAAAGTTCTGGATGGCCCCTTGCTTGAATCATCGGAATCAACATTCACTCGGCGACAAAATTCGATTTTGCCGAAAGTCGACTTTCCCCCTGAAAAATCCAAGATCTGTCTCTCGACCCAGGTGAAAATGAAAAAAATTTTTGAACATGAAATAAAAAAAAACAATTCCTACTGTACAAACGACCCTCCCCCCAATCTTTCAATGTTATCCCGCCTGATCCCGCCCTAGGGAAATCAGAAATAGCAATGGCGTCTGCCTCTCTTAAAACACATGTCATAACAACTCTGCAATCTCCAAAAAATTCTCTCTGTCTAAATCCAGCAACAATCATCATTCCTAAAAATTGTTTAAACATAACAATCATCAGTGATGAGTGAATTATCAGACTGGAAATGCGAGCCCTCGAACTACATAACAGGTAAACCCGGCAAATCATACCATCCACTTCTGAGGTTAGAGTCAAAATATTCCCAATGTTTACATAAGAATTTATTTCAGAAATCAGGAGAATGATGTACGGCTTTGGCGACTCCTCAGAGCCCCTGATAGAATCAGCAACATTGATAAATGATGTTGTGCAGAAGCAGATGAAGGGGATTGTTTATGAGGCGTGCAGAGTGGCTGACAGGAGACAATCGGATGTTGTTGAGGAGCAGGATTTCCTATTTCTTCTGCGTCGAGATAAAGTTAAATTACATCGGTTGCTGAAATATCTTCGTAAGTCGTCTGGGGTAAAATATGCATGTTTATTTGCATTTTTATTCACATGAAATAATGAAATTTTCCCAAATGAATCTATCGTTAATCATGAAACTTATACTTTAGCAATTTTTAAGTCTGACATATTTTTGAAACAATTTGAGAGGACGTAAACCCCAAAGAAAGCATAGAACAAATAATCAGATACTATTTCACAAATACAAGCCTCCAATTTCATTTTAGAAAATATAATTTCGAAGAGAGAAATTCCTCATTCAATTCCCTCCTGAATAAAAAAATCGAATAGATCGTTTGAAATAAGTGGGAATTGTGCATGAAAATACCAACAATTGAATATTTTGTAACCATGAAAATTAACTGATATTTTTTTCTCCTAAATCCGAAGAATTCAAAACAACCGTCAGGAAAGTGCTCGACACAAATCTATTTTCATCCACTGAAGAGTCATCAAATGAAATAAAATTCGACAAACGGTTCCACCAATTTCTGAGCAATATTGAGAGCCCCAGTGACACAACAACCGTCGACCACGTGAAGAAAGCCCGCGACTTACGGGCTGAAATGCTCTCTCGAAGGCTGGACGCCGTTCGCTACATGGAGTACAGCACCGCGAGATCAGCCTCATTCGCGAACAAGTATAATCACAAATTTGGGAGCTGGATAGCGACGGAGGGGGATCTGAAGATATCGAAACAGGCGTACGCGGTGTTGGGGTATTTTGCGTATGAGACTGTGGCGCAGATAATGGATTTTGCGTTTCTGGTGAAGCACGACCAGACGAAGATACATGGGGATGCGTTGGATAGGCTCAGGCTGGGCTATTGTAATCCTGCGACGTACAAGCCTTATCAACATGGCAAGGTAATTCCATTAATTATTTTCAAGCAGACACCGGCGTAATCACTAATTTTCATTGAAGTTAAATTTTGAATGAGTCAATTGCTAATATTACTCATCAATTAAATATTCCAATTCCGAATTATTTTATCACTCAATAATTTAAGTCGAAAGATTGACGATTATTTGGCTAATCGAAAATATTTTTATGAAAATTAGAAATATTTGCTCAATAGTAAAAAATTAAAAATATGGAATTGCCAATTATTTACTTCATAGTCAATTGAACATTTACATTACCAATTATTATATTATTTTTCAAATTTTCATTATTGTAAGGTGCAACTTGTCATATTACTAAATTAATGATTGATGCCGATCTATGTTTTCAAGGAAAAGAGAAGATAAATAAAGTAGAATAAACAGAAAATTCATGTCGAGAAATTCCTGTATTAAATTGAATTCTCGTTTTTAGAAATATTCTTTAATATCTCTTGACATTTTTTCTTAAACCCCACTCATAATCGAAATAATTCCGTATTTATGGAATTAATTAATAATTCCCGGTCTTGCTAATTATTTCAGGGAGCCTCGATGAAGCCAGTGACTCCATCAGAAATAAACGAGGCCCTCAGGCGCTACTGGTCCCCCCAACTGGACAAAACAGGCCCCTTCAATCGCTGGTCAACGCCCAAACAACACCCCAAGTTCCTCGCCATCTAGACTAGATGCAGTACCTTTCCAGAATAACTCCCCTCCAAGACCACTTCCAAGTACTCCTTTTAATACAAATTTTTATTACATTATGTGACAATATCTACAATTTAATATCCCTAAGTGATTCATCGCGATCTCATTATAAAATCAATACCAATAACGGTTCTCCTGGAATATTCACGAATTTATACACATGCTAATTTTATTCCTGTATCATGGAGAGAGTAATGTTGATACTCTGGCTTTTCCTTCGGCTCCACCTGTGATGCATGTACCGGATTGATTGGCAGTGGACCAGTCGCAGCACAGGGTTCCCTTGTGTCCGCCAAGTTCAAGGACTTTTGCCTGAGCCCCTGGTGGCATCTGCATTAAAAATTCAGTTTACGTACAATTATTAATTCACGAGTTGATGAAGCCATTGAAGGGGAAAAATATAACACCAGACAGAAGGGAAATTTTTCAAGGATGAAACGCGAATAATATGAATGAATAATAAGATGAGTCACTGAATTGGTGTTTATGACTGAGAATCTGCATTCTGCAGAAAAAAATCTCGTAAAGTGAAACTGAATGAAAAAATTTTCATTTTAAGTCACAGGGCTGCTGTAGCATCGTAATTATTTTATTAAAAAATTAATTTCATGAACAGTTGACTAGTCATTTTCAGGAGGGTAGCATTTTATTGGATTTGGGGGGAAAAATTATGAAATTTCACATTTCACTGAAAATTCAACGGAGTTCCTAATTTTTGAGCAGCAAAAAGCCGAGAACTCTCTAACTTCTTTTGATTTTCAATTGAATTTTCCTGATTTCTATTAATTTCGATGGAATAATTGAACTAAAACCTAGAGTTCCCACTGATTATTCCCTGAAGTTTCCAATTTTCAATGCCGAAATTCTTTGAAATTTACGTGAAACTATAATTTGATAAAAATTCCCAAGAGGTGTGTCGAAAATCCATCAAAAAATTCTCAAAAGTGTATACCTTGTAGATGTTGCCTCCATTCTGCGTGCAAAGCAGCATATGACTCCCACTCTGATCGAAAGTAAACAGCTTTCCATGTACAGCATTCTTCTCGATTTTAATCTTCGTCTCCCACATGACTTTACCCGTATGATTCAGACTTCTCTGGCACAACTTTCCCTCCTCACTCTGTGCACAGATGTTGGTGTAATCGTTTATGAGCTCGATGTCTATCACAGGACTCGAGTGACAGCTCACATTATCTATTATCTCGTTTCTCCTCAAATCGTGGATCAATATGTTTCCATTGGACAGACCTGTTATGAGCAATTGTCCGTTGTGATTGAAGGCAGAGCAGAGAGCAGTCACGTTGCCGTCCATTGGCAGTGTTCTCTCAAGTTTTTTAGTCTTCACGTCGTAGAGGAGAAGTTTACCCTCGGTGGGATTGGACAGTGAGCAGACGAAGGTCGAGTCTGAGGGGTTGCACAGGAGGGTGAGGATTCTTGAGCCTTCGTGTTGAATTTCCCAAAGGGTTTTGCAGTCTCGTGTGTCGTGGAGTTGAATTGATCCGTTGTTATCACCGTGGAGGAAGTAGCGCTCGTTTTTTGATATCCAGTCGAGAGATGTTACAGCTTTGTTTGAGGTTGGGGTTGTGGATGTGAATGTGGCTACAGTCCTGGGAGAGATAATGTTAACATTGGTCATTGGGTTGTAATTTTATGAGATTTTGTGAAATTTTATGAGATTTCATAGCAATTTAAAGACTTCTGAAGGAAATTCGTGAGTTTGTTAATTAAATTTTGAGGTTTCGTGGAAATTTCATAGAAATTTCTAACGATTTCATGAGTAATTACCCCCTGAATTTTTTAAATTGTAATTGTAGTATTTTTCGTAGAAAAGCTTTTGAAATTTCACGAAAATTTCATAGGATTTCTGCGATTCCAAGAACTCTAGAAGATTTTTCTCAGAATTTTAGGAGTGATTAGCCCCCTGGGGATTAATTCTCCACTTATTTTTTACAATTGATAAAAAAAAGTTGATTACTTTGGTGATGGTATGGGTGTCCAGACTTTGATGATACCATCGGCATCTCCAGTGGCAACGTAAGACCCAGAGGCATTGCTCTTACATTGTATTATTGACGTTTTATGCTCTGTGTATTCTTCCTGCAACGTATACGAGATATTGTTGCATTCCCTCTGTGGAAATATTACAGATGAAAAGTTCTAACTCACCTGACTGAGTAAGATGTAACTAGACTCAATTTTATCTTTGGTTTTCCTCTCGATCGCAGTGTCCACTGACGAGTCCCTCTTTCTCGTTAATCTCGAATCACAGCTCATACTCCTCTTGCTGACAATTTCACCTTTACTCAGGGAATTGACACGTCCTTTGGTATTGGTTCTTTTTGTTAATGTTACGTCCTCACTATTTTTCTTTGCACTCGACAGGGATTTGCGGTGGAGAATGGGACTGGAGCCGCCTCCTATGTTTTTTATCAGACTCCTCAGGGTTTTGGGATTCTCCATCAACGGTGATTCTCTATTAAAAGATATATTTGGAGAATATTTTACAAAAAAAAATAATTTCTGCGCAAGCACTCACTGAGCAATTATGTAGAAATCATCCATAATAGGTGGATGGTGGGGGGTAGATCCAGGATTTACGTCTGAAATACTTTCAATTTTTGTGGAGTCACTCAGACATTGCTTCAGGGCTTCATTCTCCTCTTGCAAGCGTTTCAACTTGTTTGAATCCTCGTCGATTGTTAGTAATGTTGGTTGTGGCATGCACTGAAATTTCAATTATTAGACACCAGATGAAGAGAATAAGACGTACGAAAAAAAACCGGAAAAAAAACTAGCGAATTTGATAGAACATTCTATTGAATTTCTGTTGGATTTTTTGGCAGATTCTTTTGAAAAATTCTGCAGCTTCACTGTGCGTTTTTTAAAATAGAAAATATAGTACAATGTAATTTTCAAGTCGTTTTGACTCTATTTTTTTCTCTTTTCATTAACAAAATCAAACGAAAAAACTTGAAAAATTTGAGCCGAGGAATTTGTACGGAAAATTCATTTTTTCTGTACAACATTTTCCACTAAATATTTTCTATTTTAAAAAACGTGCAGATAAATTGCGGAATTTCGTAGCGAATTCGCCAGGATCTGTATGAAATTTTTTCGTACAATTCATCATTTATAACTTACTTGGAATATCGTAGCTAAAAAGTTGTGGAGAGATACGAGCATAGTGTCTTGCCACTGTTTGCTGAAGTGTACAGAGTACGTTGGATTGTCCTCCGGGTTTTTGATGAATGGATAAGCTACAAAATAAGAGGGTCAATTAAAATTTATAAAAAATACAGCTTTAGGATACGTTTTGACGAATATCTCCTAGTCTGGGAGGGATAGAACTATTCATAAAAAATTGATTCATAAAAAATCGAAACGTCAAGAAAATGTTCATAGCTTTTCGTGAATCAATGATGTTTACTTATTCGATAAGAATTCATTCAATCCAAATTTATCCAATCTGCTCTATTCTATCGTCGTGCATGAGGATGACAAATTCAAACGTTTAAAAATTGAAAAAATGCAACAAATAACATTCTAATTAAGTAGCGAAACCGTAAACTAGTTCAAGTCAATTTCGACTAATGGTCAGTTGTCAACGAATATCTCGGAATCCAAGGCAGATAGCAAAATTTTCGCTATAACTATTTTTATATCTCTCAATTCTCTCTACAAAAAAGGTCATTAAAAGGCCAGGAGCTGAGTCAGTTTATAAATGTTAACCCCAGCACGTAAAATTCAAATCAATTGGCCTTTGCCATAATGAATTTTCAAAAACTCCATCTGAATTTTTCAAAATGAAAAATTCAGAATAAAAAACAATTCTCTATTCACCAAACCAGTCTTTCCACTCCGAGTGGCCCTGCAACTCAGGCGTGAGTTTCGTAAAAAACTCCTGAATCCTCTCAGGTTTATTGTTAACAGTGGCATTAACCAGATACATTTTCAAAACTGCATTCTCCAGTTTCCTAACACCAGGTGTGAAATGATTCTCCAAACGTGAGAACATTTTAGTGTCCAAGTGGCCCCACAATTCCCTGAGTGACATGAGATCAAACGTGAAAATATACTGCATGAGTTGATCCACTATTTTGTCGACCTGCAAAATAGTACAGTTATCAGCATAATTTCGAGACATACTCCGACAGTCTCCAAGCGAATCTCACTCTGAATCCCTTTTCCTTCTCAGCTTTGAGCTCATTGTCAAATGCCTTGAGGGTCTGGCTGAAGCCCCTGAACAGCAGATACTCCTTAACCAATTCATCCACGTACTGTACGTGTGACATTTTTCACTCCACTCGGGATATACTCGGCGAATTTCAAATCAAAATAAAGTAAATAAAAATAGTGCTCAAGCCTTTCCACAACAATGCCGATGTCATATGGGTGCCATATTGTCTGATACTGAAACGACAACAACCCACCACCACTTGACCGTCATTATATCCCTCTCAGTCGCTCTTATCGCTCTCTCACTCGACACGCCACTGCGGTACCCCGTGACGTCACAAGTTCTGTGCTCAGAGGAGCTCGACACACTGTGATTTCTCCAGCCAATCGAGTGAAATATAGAATTTTATGGTTTCGTCAATACTTGAGCGCAACGGGATGTAAATTCTTCATACCCTAATTTCGCAGATGAAAAATCTCGGGGATGTTTTCAGTTGTGAAGGGGGAAGGACATTTGGTATAGACAATTTCGGGGGGTTTAATATTACAGGGAAGCGAAAATTACTCCGCAGTATCGAGGGTTTGGAGACAAATGGATTTTTCACTGTGGAAAAAATTGGAAACAAATTCGATTTTTCACTGTGGAAAAATTTAGTAGAAAAATTTGGCGTTTTGCGAACTCTATAAGAATTCTATTAAAGTTCTGTGGGGATTCTGTTTAAAAATTCTATAGTCGGGTCTGTAACAAACTGTACAAGATATTATCAACATCGTTTGAGTTATTATCAACATATCTCTTTGTAAGAGTGAAATCATTTTTAAAAATGCGTAATTTTTCACTGTGAAGAAATTTAGTAGAAAAATTTGGTGTTTTGCGAATTCTATAAGAATTCTATGAAAGTTCTGTGGGAATTCTGTTTAAAAATTCTATTTTTTTAAGTCAATTCTACTAAAAATTATACAATTTTATCGTAACATTATGTTGAGCGATATTTGATACAAAGAATTTTTCTCACGCAATTTCATTGGCAAATTTAATGATTGAAGATGGTTGAGTCTATAGAACTCCACTAGGTTTTTCCATTAAATTTTTTCAACGAATCATTAACGTTTCGAAAAAAGTCAAGTCCACTTGGTCCCATTTATCAAGAGAAGATTTTACAACTCGGAATGTATCGAGAGTCGCAAATCAACAATGGAAATGGAACTATCTTTATTATCTTTGAATTGTTTCCAAGCGCTATTTTCGCCGAAAAGTGCCTCGCGCTGATGGACATGAATGGGATATGTAACTGATGAAGGATATAAAATTCCCACGCAAAGCGTCATTTTTAGATTCTTTATTAAAAGGCACAACATTTTCCCAGCAGTAGACAGCGTAGGCATTTATTTGCATTTGAAAATCCACCCCTTCCCCAATTCGCGAAGATATTGATCATTGGCGAAAGGATCTCGTTAGCTTCTCTTGTGATGACCAGTGGCTATTCATTCGAGGCTTATCTCGAATTATCGCTGAAATGCGCGTTGAATTTGGGGTCTGCGAGAGCCACAAGTCTCGGCAAATTGCTCGTGAGTTTGTGACAATCGTTGGGAAGAGATGGTTACACCTCTGAATATTCTTTGGACATCGTCATTATTTTTCATCGATGAATTCTATATTCAGCCAGTGGACAAGTCCCTGATTTGTGACTCGCTCGGTGGACGCCAGTATTTTTAGTTAATCTTTATGAAGGGACGGTTTTACTGTTCTTTCAAGGAATTTTGGTCTCGAAAATTCGTAATTCTATGGAAAAATCGATGGAGACTGTAAATTTCAGTTCATCTATTCCATGGAAATTCATGAATATTTATTTACTTTGTGAATTCTATATTCAGTCAGCGGTAGAGTCCCTGATTCATGATTCATTGGGTCGAAGCCAGTATTTTTAGTTAATCTTTCATCTCTTGATTAAAAAAAACTATGTTTGAGCCAAGAAATTCTCAGATCATCGCTAAATTTCTGGTATTTTTTTTGGAAATCTTCAACGAGGAACAGTTCTACAGAAATTTCAAGCAATTTGGTATTTAAAATTCACAATTCGATGGAAAAATTAATGGAAACTGCAATTTTTAATTCAACAATTCCATGAAAATTTACAGAAATCAGGAAAATTTAAGAATTCTCGTCTTCCTGTTGCTCAAAAATTTAGAATTCCATTAAATTTTCAGTGAAATTTGATGATTTTCCCCCCTTAATTGAATTCAATATCATTCTCCTAAAAATTACTACTAAACTGTCCACGAAATTTCAAATTTTTTGTCAACTTTGTAAATTCAACGAATACAAAATGTTCGTGATAAGTCACAATTTCCCATATTAAAAATTTGCAATAATTTCGCATGTCTTAAAACCAAAATCATCCAGTAAATAACTACTTCATTGAGGGAATCCTGTACTGACGAAGAGTCTGAAAAATCTCCTGAATGAATTTTTCCGTCAAATTGTCCGAAATTAATGACATAATTCGTCGCAAAATATTCTCCTGACTCGTAATATTCAGAGGTGTAATCGAAAGAATGTGCATAAATTATTCGGCATTTATTATTTCACAAATCAACGTCTTCTTCCTTAGCCTTTGGTGCTTGTTTCTTCTCATTGTATTCATCATCCTCCTTAATCGTTGCATGTACGTCAGCAACTTCAACCGGTGGTGGTGCAGTAGTTTGTATCGATCCGTCGTCTACCGCAACTTCGAAACCTATGGTGGCGCCTATTTTTTGGCTCGCTTGTTTAAACGAATCTGATAGCATCACCTGTAGTGAATTAACAGGTTTGAATTATTAAATTTGTGGGAGAGATGTGCGTCCTGAGGTGTGCGTACCTGGACGACGTTGATGCACATGGACGTGAGGGCGAGGCCGAAGACGAGATAGACTATAGAGCACATCATGTATATAGGATGCTGACGGAAAGAGAAAAATATTATTTTAGATGCTTCCAAGGCTCGAAATAATTCTTACGAAATATTGAATTGTTGCGCAAGGTATTTTCATATTCGATAGGCGTTTTCATTTAGTATTTTTGGAGATTAAATGGGCGGAGGGGGGGGAGGGTTATTCAACAATTCAATATTATTGGCAGGAATTATTACGTGATGGTTTGATAGAATGAGACTGGGCTATCTAGTCTGGGCGGGCGTCAGCACTTTTAAGATCGTAAATCAATTTATTTGATTTTTTCGATGGATCTAGGTCGTCTGGTCATCCACGGTCTTTCTTTTCATTCAATTGATTAATTAATGATCCTAAAGGTGTTGACGACGGCTGCAGCCAGTTTAACTCCATCAAATTGTGATGGAATACTCCAATGGTCAGAGTTTCTGCTCTGAGAACTAGGGGAGAGTGGGGTAACACGGACCGTTTTCAACCAGAAATTTTAGGAAATTCAGGATTTCATTGGATCCAGTAGCAAAACGCTAAAACGGTTCAAGTCGATTTTGACTATTTTTCAATTATAAATAAATGTCTCGGAATCTAAGGCAGATAGCAAAATTTTTGTTAGAACCTTTTTTGTAGCTCTCGATTCACTCTACAAAAAAGGTAATTATAAAAATTTCGCTATCTCCCATAGATGCGGAAACATTCGTCGAAAACTCAGCGGAGCGCTGAGTTGACTTCAATCGTTTTACAATTTTTTCAATTTTGATTTTTTTTTAAATTGAAATTTTTCAATTTCAATTTTTTCCAACAGTATAATACGATTCGGATGTCATTTCAACACGCACGAAAAAAATTAATATAAAAACCTAGCGAATTCGCGAATTCTACATTTTCTATAGAATTTCTTCGGCTCAAATTTTCGAAATTTTTTCAATTTTACCTTTCTTTTCTTTTCATTATGAAAACCAAAAAAAAAACTTTGAAATTTTGAGCTGAGAAAATTCTGTAAAAAATACCTTTGTTCAACTGTTGCATAGAAAAGTAGAATTCTATTAAATTTTTCTATGAAATTTTTTCGTACGTGAAAGCTCAAAAAAATGCTTTGAAATAAAAAAAACAGTCAGTGTTACTCAATTTCTCATTTTAACGATAGCTGAGAGCTTCTTACCGGCTAGGATTCAGCATGAAAAAAAAGCGCCATTAAGCTCACATTGAACGTCTCATATTGATATTACGACATGAAATGAAGTGGAATGATTTGTTAATCTCACCTTCGGTACAAAATCACCGAAACCAATGGTGCTCATGGATATAAAGACGAAATAAAAACTCTGGAAGAAGTTCCAATCCTCCCAGATATTGTATGCAGTAGCGCCGACGAATATATATGCGAGGAGTAGTGTGATGGCGACAGAAATTGGCAGATTGAACTCATCGTCAATTTCGAAGGCAGAGAATGCTGGTGTACCCGGTGTATCGGGCTGAGGTAGAGGTGCGTTGCCATCGAGATTGATGGTTGTTTGAGGGACTGCCTGCCGATTCATCTCTTCAATCTCCTCCGGGTTCATCTGGGACGGCCGACGAAATGTCGCAAAGTCGTAAACTAATTGAACCCCCTTCATTACTTCCTAAAAAATGTTGGAAATGCCTTCGTGAAACAACTTGCGCTTTCCTCAAGATATTTCATTGAATTTCCATTGGAATTCTATTTATTTTCATTGCGAAATTTCAGTAAGAGACATTTCATAGAAAAAATTCAATAGATTTCGATTTTTCTATAGGAAAAAAAAATTTGAATAATCATGCCCAAGAATTCTTATAGAGAAGAACAAGGTATTTAACAACAAAATGACAAATATCTATAATTTTTAATAGAATTGACGCAAAAAAACAATAGAATTTTTCAACAGATTTTTTCTAATTCGATTTTTTCGGAATTCTAATTCGTTTTTACGCCAATTCTATCTTGATTTTTCTAGAGATTCTCGAGCATTAATTTGCCATTTTTTTCCAAAAAAATAAGAAGTATAATTTTTGGATAGAAAATATGTAGAACTCTAGTAGAATTTTTATGCAGTTCCTATGGAAATTTAATGTGATTTCGCGCAGAAAGCACGGTTTTCCTTTATAATTTTTTTCATGAGTGGGAACGTGTCAGGCCAATTGATTACCTGAACTGGGGCAGTTCGCCTGACCCTTCGGCAACTTCCCGTGTAATACACCCGTCTTACGAACGCCCAGAGGAACTTCATTCCTCGAGTGAACAATTTACCGAAATCAGCGAGGATTATTAAAAACATGGGAATACCAAAAATTGCGTAGATTATGGTCATCGCTTGGCCGGTGGACGTTGTAGGGTATATGTGACCATAGCCTAGAACATAGGGATAAAAATAATTCGACGATGGTTTGCAGATCTCACGGTGTGCGGGGTTTTGCGTCCAGTAGGGGAACGCAAAGAGAGATTTTTCTCATTTCGATGTTTATTGATTCATCGTGAGGGGGAGATCACACTGGAAAATTTATGCACCGGATTTCAAGATTACGAAATTTCAAAGATTATGAATTCTGTTTGGTAGTTCAGAGGGGTTAGGCAATCCCTCGGAATTCAGACCGATTTTATGGGATTCCGAAGACTAGGGAAATTTGGGTATATTGGGATTTTTAATTATGGAAAGATTTATAGGAATTTAGATTCTCAAGGAGAATGCGGGATGGAGGTCAAGCATTTGCGCGCGCTCAGTTAATTTTTATGATAAACAATTAAATATATTTTTGATATCTAAAACGAATAGGAAAAAAATCGAATAAGAATCTATGGCTCTAAAAATTAGAAAAACTTGATAAATTCGAGGTAACTATATTCTTAAATTTCAAATTCATTGAAAATCTAGCTTATTCGAATTTTCTATATAACTTATTCTATTGGGCATTTTCATTTTCAAATTCCTCGGCTTAAATTTTCCATGAGTTTTTTACGATTTGCTCGCGAAAGGGAAAGAACAATAGACTGAATAAAACAGAAAATTCATGTCGAGGAATTCTTATAGAAAATATCTCAATAGAAAAAATTCTATAGAAAATTAAAATTCTACTGATTTTTTCTTTAAAAAATCGCGCAGTTAATCTGTGAAATTTTCACTAGAAGTTCAATAGACATTCAAAACCCGAGTCCTTCAGTTTTTTTCATTTCCTCTTTCCACCATTAAAACCAGAAATTCAATAGAATTTCACATCGAATTCACTAGTTTCTCGCACGATCTCATTTCCCGCAAATTCCCGAGAAAAAGTTCCCGAAAAAAATCCCAAATATCAAGAATAACATGCCCCAGCTGCTCACCAATAGTAGTAACAACCGTCAGACAATAAACGAAAGCATTAAGAAAACTCCACGTTTTCTGTCCACTGTAAGTATGAAGTCCGGCGTCATACGCCTCATAAAGCTGCTCCTCAAACTCCTTCAATTTTCTCCTAGCCATGCTCTTCCAGTCGTCCTCCTTCAAATTATGACTGTAATTCCACAGACTGTCCAAAAAATCGCGTTTCACCCGCTTGACCCCGCACTTGTAGAACTGCTCGAAAGCCCCCTCGGTGAATCGAAAGACGAAGGCCCCCAAGCCGCAATAAATAATCATGAGGATCAACTCGGCGATGCACCGATTTCTGTGCCTCCTGAGGACCTCAGTCTCCCTAGGGTTCTGGGCGACATAAATACTGAATTGAGCCCTCAAATCCGACGATATCCTCACGTATTCCAGAAACCTGGGCTTCCCCTTAACTTCCTGTCCTCGACTTTCCTCGACTTTCTTCTCCACTGGCTCAGCCCCAGTTACATTGTCCGCTGGCCCATCCACCTTCTCCTTCTGTGCTCTGAAGCACGTCAGCCACGACCAAAGCCACGAGCCCTTGACACCCTTGACATCCTCAACATCCTTAACATCTCCAACATCCCCCTCGACAGAGGACATGTCCGCCGCCTCAATTTTGCTCCTGTGTCTCTTCCTCCTCCTCAAAGCGGCCTCCATCTTGGGGCTGACATAGTCCTCAACGTCCGCATCCAAAATACCGATCTCTCGTCTCTCGTACTGTTGTTGGGCGATCTCAAGGTCGTGCATCAAACTTTCATTGCTGAGTGGAATAATCTGTTTGACCCCGCGCGAGGGAATACTGTCGTTGCGATGTGCCGCACCGGTTTCTTCGTCCCGATGTAGACTCTCCCTCGTCTTCTGACCAACATCTCCCTGACGATCTTCCGAGCAAGACGACCGCCGCGAGCGCGACCTGATAGTCTCCTCCGAAGTTGACTTGCTCCCCTTAACTTTATTGCACTCTTCAGAGTGATGTTTACGGTGCGATGAAGCTGTCTCATCCCCGTGTGATCTGCCGCCTCCCGGTGGAAGGTCGTGCATCAAACTGTCATTGCCGAGTGGAATAGTCTGTTTAACACCGCGCGAGGGAATACTGTCGTTACGATGTGCCGCACCAGACTCTTCGTCCCGATGTAGACTCTCCCGCGTCTTCTGACCATCTCCCTGACGATCTTCCGAGCGAGACGACCGCCGCGATCGCGACCTGATAGTCTCCTCCGAAGTTGACTTGCTCCCCTTAACTTTATTGAACTCTTCAGAGTGATGTTTACTGTCCGGAGAAGCGGTCTCATCCCCACGGGATCTGCCAACTCCCGGTGGAGTGATCTGTTTAACATCGCGCGAATTCCGATCCAGAGACTCCTTCGTCTTTTGACCGACATCTCCCTGACGATCTTCCGAGCAAGACGACCGCCGCGATCGCGACCTGATAGTCTCCTCCGAAGTTGACTTGCTCCCCTTAACTTTATTGTACTCTTCAGAGTGATGTTTACGATGCGAAGATGTCTCGGAAGCCGTCTCCCCATGCGATTTACCAAGTCTGGGCGGCGCAACCGGTTCCGAATATTTCCCCGATCGCGTGACATCGTTACTATCATTCCGTCGCGACGACTCCTTCCTCAAGCGTCGCGGTCTCTTCTCCCTCTTCCTCTCGTGTCTCTCAGCCTCGCTCTTACTTGATTTATCATCGTCAGCGCTTGAGCCACCGGTGCTGAATCGCTCCTGCGACTGTTTGGCACGTCTTCTGGACGTGTCTCGCACTCGTCTAATAGATTCCGTTCTATTTTCGTTGGCAACAATTTCCCCCGGTTTTGAATCATCAAAACTATCGGCTTCGGTGCGCTTCGGTTCGCTAATCGGGTCGACTTTGTTGTCGTCGATCTCGTCATTTGGCTTTTCTGGCGCTTCATTGGCAAGCGCCTCCATGCGCTCTGTGTCCTCCACCATCCGCTCCATGCGGGCACGGGCCTCTCTAGCCTCAGCGTCCTCATCTTCGTCGACGTCATCCTCGCGCTGTCGCGCCTCTGGGGTTTTCTCACGTCTTCTCGCTGATGCCGCTGCCTTGCGACGTCTGTGCACCGCGTAACTCTCCTCCATAATGGCGACACTTTTTATTATTTATTGATGAGATATCACTAGGTTACGGAGGTGAAATGCTCACTTCAACGCAACATTACTAGTGTCGCACGGAGAGGCGTCTTTGCGGACGAAAATAAAGCTCGAGCTCCCACCACTCCACCCAACACCCGCTATATACCAGCGCTTACTCTTTATTTTCTCGCAAGCTGCGCCCGAGGGAGGTCCTATGGACCACTGTCACTCCTCATTCTCAGGTTCCAGGCGGTTTATTCTACGCGAAAACCATCAAACATTCGCTCATTGGTCGTCACCGTCCATTATTATTAGGCATTCGGGGGTGAAATGAATAATTTCGCTTGCACTTGCAGTCACTCCGACCGAATTACACTGAATTTTTGGGTTGCTCATCTTTCGCTTTTATCTTTTACTTCTGTATTTTCCACTTACGTAATGTGTCGCACTGATTCTCGAAATAGTGGAACGCGTGGGATCGCACGATTTTTGTTTGGATTCTTCTTCTTTTTTCTTCAGGGGGAGGGGGGTGCGGGGAAAAATACGGGAATAATTAGTGGAAGGGGGAATGGATTAATTTTGGAGGAGCGGACGAATATCAAGGGTCAGCGCACAGAATTTTGCAAAAAATTCTTGTCTTTGTGAGGATTTATGCACTAGTTTTTTGTTTTGTTCATTTTTTTTATTTGCGTTTTTAAAAATATTTTGTAAATTAATTTTTGTGATAATTCCTGTGATCATTATGGATCATATAAAGAGATTAATTGGCTGTAAAAGCATAAAAAATTCACTAAATAATTTATCTACTGTTCTAATTGAATGAATAATTTATTTATTCTTCTAATTTTTTTGTATTTCGTTGGGTATTCACAGGGAGAAAAAAAATGTAGAAATAAATACTTGGAAGGAAGATAAAATGGGTTCATTTCGAAGGAAATGAAAGAATTCAGGGGGCTGAATTGATAATTTTGCAACGGAATAGAGGAATTTTTCACATTATTACGAGATAATTCGTGCATTTTCCTTACCAATGGTTGTGTAAATTGTTCCGCAATAAAATACAGCATTCCAAAAGGTCCAGACGTCTTCCTTCGTATTCATAAAGCCATATTTGAAGTGATTCCTCAGCTTGCTCTCGTAGTCCTCGATTCTGTTGGCTACGTGACCGTGCCATATGTCCCGTTGATCGAAAATATCTTTCTTCTCGCACAAATCGCGGATCTCCCATACGGTTTTATTCCTTGAAATTTTTCGTTTAATAGTTTTTTGAAATTTCTTTTAATGGCTCAATTGGGAGTTCGGAGGGGCTCTTGTACCTGTCCTCGTGGATTGTGCGCTCTAACTTTGTCTCCTGACCTCCCTCGATGTAGATGAAGAGGAAAGCGCCGGCTATGCTGTACAGGAAGACCACAACTACCAGAAATATGTGGGTGAACCAGCGTTTACTCCACGAACTGACCTGGGAATAAGTGCGAGAGTCGATGGTTGGGTTCATGGATACTGTAATTATGTGGTAAAACGATCGGATGGGACTTCCGGGGGGAAAATGTAACGCACGCAATTCATACGTTTTCGCGATTTTAAAAGTGACACATTTATTTGAGAACAAAATTATTAATCAAGACATGATTTTCGGTTTAAAATACAATGGGATGTGGGGAAAATTCAACAAAACTTGTGCAATTTTCAAGACTATCCAAAAATAATCAGTAAAACCCCATTAAAAAAGTTTAACTATTAAAAAACTTCAAAATATTGTAAATTTAACTAAACTTATCGCAGTTTTTATTAGATTTTCTATAAAAATTACGGTAAAACTGAAATCTATGCAAATGTTTAAACAATTTTTTTTTCGTATTTTTCTTCAACGAAAAATCTTTAACAAAATTTCTACGCCGAAATATCCCAGGAAACGCGATGATGACGGGAGTTAATTCGTCATTCAACTCGTGTTACCACTTTATCACATGAAATGATTTGTTGATTCTTCTTTTAGAATACGCTTTCGTAATTTTTTTCAATTGGAGGAGTCGACCAGTTACCGAACGAACTGACGTATTTAACTTCAGAAAAAAATTATTAGTACTAAGAATATAATGTGCGTCAATTCAACAAAAGTTTGTGCAACTTTCAGCAAAACTCTGTCAGAAAAAGTGTAATTTCAAAATATTGTCAGTTCAACTCAACACATTGCATTCTTCACTAGATTGTTTATAAAAATTCGTGCAAAACTGGAATTTCCGCCAATTTTTGAACAATTTTTTATTTCATATTCAAAATTTTTACTCCGAAAAATCCCGGGAACCGATGATGACGTGAATTAATTTGTCATTCAACTCGTGTCACCACTCAGACAACACGATTTGTTCATTCTTTTAGAATTTCTTACTTTTTCGTACAGCCAAAACGCACTTTTTTCACCGACACTCAGTCCCGATTTGGTGAAGTCCTTGATGCCCTTGATCTGTGCGAAAACAAATTCACTTGCTTTATTGTAATACATGACTTGGGGCTGGCCAGGACCTGGGGTCTGTGGCATCGGTGTCTGTCCGTACGGAGTGGCCATGTACCCCACAGGGGTCTGAGGGTAATGGGCATATTGTCCTGGTACCGGAAGGGTTATCTTCGGTCTAGGACGCGGTTTCTTCGGTTTCGGTGACTCCGACATTTTTTACCGTTTCTCTCTGTTAATTGCAATTGTCAATGAACACTGGGTTTAATTCTCGCTGATTTTTCTTCTCGCCGGTGTCGCCTCCCCCATGTTATTTCGCGATGATACTTTTTTTTAGAAAATTGTAGCAAAAATATTTGTCGTTGGGACGCAATCGGTTTTTATTATTTTCGGGAGTGAATGGGGAAACGGAACGGGAGACTGTGTCGCTGTGGCGTCGCGACGTCGACTGACGGTGTATACACACATATCTTCAGGGGGTCATGGTTTTCAAATCTCACGCGCCCTATTCTCGACGACTGCGCGCGACTACTGCCGCCGTTCGTCAACCCCTGGGCTCGATCAATTTTTTGTTTATTTATTTTAAGAAATTGAAAAAAAAGGGCCCATTCGGAAGCAAATTGTTAAATTATTAGCAACAACGACTTCCTCATTTTTAAATAAATGCAATTGTCCATTTGGTCATTCCTTGGGTGTGGAGCCAGTCAGGAATAAATAATAATAATTCTGCAGCGAAGTGGTGAACTAGGATAAGTGCAAAAATGAAACTTTGTCATGAGAATTCAGCAATTTGACCACGTTCGAGGGAACTTCCGATTCAAGCAATGGAAAATTTTTCAAAACAATTGTATTTATCCTAGTTTACCACTTCTCATTTCAAACGGAATTACAAACTGAATCTCCGGAAAAATTCATGATTTAACATTACAAAACCTTTCTCCCGTTGCTAATAGCTTCCCAGAGCCCACGTGAATGCCGATGTTTTTTTTCCCAAAAGAAAAATTCAATGATTACAATGCCATAAGCTCATTTAGCAAAAACGCGGTAAAAAATCCGTGAAAATTGACGATTTAATAGATCCGATCAATTAGCCCCTCATGTATAGATATTCCCAATTTTTATTTTTTTCCTCATTGAAGTAGTTTTGAAAAAAATTGCGAGCTAATAAAAAACATTTGCTAGTTAGTACTTTTTTTAAAATAAATTTTTGAAAAATCACCTCTGAAAACACCTTTTCAAAAATTTATTTTAAAAAAAGTACTAACTAGCAAATGTTTTTTATTAGCTCGCAATTTTTTTCAAAACTACTTCAATGAGGAAAAAAATAAAAATTTGGAATATCTATACATGAGGGGCTAATTGATCGGATCTGATTTAATCCCGCCTCAATTGACGAAAATAATCCCGCCATCTGTCAGCGTGCCGCTGCACTAAAAATTTATACTGTTCACCCGGGAGTGTGTCCCCAAATTTCCGCGCCCATCTGTTCCACCGGGAGGACTAATGCTGCTCGCCTCTATCTTTGAGTGAGGATGTAACCATAACGAATAGAAAAAGAAGATCTGTTCCACCGCCCTCCGTACTACCGTCATTTTCCCCAGAACGGATTCAAAACGGAATGCCTCTCCCCTCATTATCATCCAATTTCTTAATTGCCCCCCGACAAAACCAGAAAATTAGAAAAAGACGGGGTTCCAGCGCCGTGGGCGCATCCAGAAATCAAAAGTCCCGGTCGAGACGCCCGCGCGACCGTTGAAAGCGCCCCTGAGCGCCACCGTCGCCCCCCGAAAGAGCGAATTCGGCCTCGTCATTGGTCCCTCGCGACCACTGAGCTCCACCACTCCTGGGCGATCGACCTTGACGGGGTTATTCTAGACTCCCGGAGGAAGCGGACTCTCTCGCTGTCGCGTTCGTCCATCCCGCAACGGCGTGTGTGAGAAAAAAAGACGGGTTTAAAACGTTAAAAGAGCGAGACGCCTTGTAGGCGAGTGCGAGGCAACGAAAGAGGAGAACAAGTAGACAAGGCAAAGAGACAACGAGTTAAGTGTGTTAATCGTGCATTCCGGGGATTACCGCAGGATCTGGATAATAATTTAAACACATAAGTAAGAAATCCACAAACGTGGAGGCTTTTCACTGGTTAACGGGGTCGTATGCCACATTTTTCTCTCGGTTTTGTCGACCATTGTCGTCCTTGTTGCGCGCGTAATGGCCGTCGTTGGGTTTGTTGACGCCGCACCGTGCAACCACACTTATTTTGCAGAAATTTAAATGTCGATTCGGCCCTTGAGGTCCCATCCGTCCCCCGTTCAATCGCATTTTCGAGGGGTTTGCCCCCCCCCTTGACGCTCCCGCGTCCCTCGTCACTCGCGCTTTTTTGGGGGGTGATAACACTGTTTATGAACGGAGGGAATCGAGGCGACGTGGAGTGAGAAAAAGGGAGATAGAAGCCGCAGGAACCACTGCACCTACATGAATTCAGAACCCCCGAGCTCAGGATCCAACGATTTTTTGGGGTTCGGTCGCCACAAACTGCGGGATTTTAATAGAGAAATACGTTTTTTGGGTCATGGGACAGTAATTTCCACCGCCGAATCGGGCTTTCACGGGCGGCCGACCTTTGGTCGACTTGCGTCCTGCAATTTGCAAATTTTTTTACACATTTTTTTGCCTTTTTTTGTGCCGCTCTCTCAGGGGTGATTATCACGGGGAATATCGTTCGGGGATTGTGGCGGAATTGAGGAGGGCTTGGGAAGAGGTTCGAAATATCGTGTGACTGTGCCACAGTTACGACTACCGCCGCCGTCATGGCAACTCCACGATCATCCGGGTGTACCAAGCCGGACATGGAGATCGTAAAAGCTTCGTAGAAGTTATCACATGTGAGTAATCAACAAAGTTTTATTCCCTTTTTTAAACCTCGAGTCACAGATCTCATTTTTCGTTTTTTTTTTTTTTTTTTTTTTTTTTTTTTTTTTTTTTTTTTTTTTTTTTTTTTTTTTTTTTTTTTTTTTTTTTTTTTTTTTTTTTTTTTTTTTTTTTTTTTTTTTTTTTTTTTTTTTTTTTTTTTTTTTTTTTTTTTTTTTTTTTTTTTTTTTTTTTTTTTTTTTTTTTTTTTTTTTTTTTTTTTTTTTTTTTTTTTTTTTTTTNGAGGAAAAAATGTTTTCGGCGGTTTTTGCCGCTGGGTCGCGCCTCTCTCGCGTGTGGGACCGATGATTTTTTTTTCACCTCATGATGATTTTTTTTTTAATTTTTTTTTGTGCCTTTGGAACCTGCGGCGTGGCTTTTGATCAGGGGGAGGGATTTTTCGGGGGAATTTAGCACATTTTTTATGATTATTTTCATGTGGTATCTGTCCTTTGTCCTGTGTCGTAGCCCTCATCAGAGCATTATGATAAGTAAAAGTGAATTGAGGGGATTGAAAAGTCAAATGAGTTAAATAACAGTTTGACAAATGATTAATAATGCATCATTATGTGCTGTAGAGTTAGTCCCAATGACGAGTGACAAAATTGAGAAGAGAATTTTTATAATTTCTTTTTTTATTTTGTATAATTGATGTCCATTGATTGCGCAGGATCAAAGGCAGCGCATCAATGGCCCTAGAATCAAATGGTAACAACGTGGTCTGGTTGAACGCAACCCGTCCTGATCAAATACAGCAGGTATGCGCCTCGCGCCCGAGCAAAAACATGAACAAAAGCCATTGCATCCCTAATACTGTGAATTGTTTTGTATATACATTTGTTTTTTTTTTTCAATCTTCTGTTGTTTTGAGGAAAATGAACAGTCATTGACCGGCAATAACTCAAGATCGGCAGGGGGAAATCGAACGATTTTTTTTCATTTCGGAAGTGTTTTTTTGTACTTTGAGGATATCCAAGTTTTTTTTTAATTTGGGTACAAATCACACTACAGATTCAACTATTTTCAATCATCAAATTTGGCAATTAAATTGCGTCAGAAAAATTTGACAAAACTTTGAATATTCAGCGTCGTTAAAATTACATTTTGCACAGAGTTATTATTTTTTCAAACATTTGCTTGTTGATGAATAAATCATTGAAATTGTTCAAATTTTGGGAAATATTATTTTTTTACGCATGAAATCGATTTCTGGTAAAATTCTGAAAATGAAGAAATTTCTTAGGATTTCGGACAAATAATTTTGCGGTGGGAAATTGATTGTTTATAAATTATTTATAGCACATGTCCTTAATTTTCAAAAACTTAATTTGCAAAATTATTTCGTTAAGCTACCCTCAAACATGAACTTTATAATTTTTTTTCATCAAGAGGATGAGGTAAAATGGATCTTGTTAAATGGTCCATATCTCTGGACCAAACGATCCAATTTGAATAAATCAAGAGTAATTTTGAAATCTGAAAAAAAACCTTCTCAATTGAAAAAAAAACTTCGTTGATCTTGAGTAATTGATGATTAAAAACGGCTCATTTTACTCTTCTCCCCTAATTCATCTTGACCATCAAAATCGAATTCAAAAACTGTCTCTATGGCTAGACGAAGAACAATGCAACAGAAAAAGACGGAGTCCAGACAAAAAAGCCCAATAAAATGTAGATTATACATAACGAAGGGACGATCACCTACAGAATCTGCCAGAATCCCACTCTAGGAGTAAATTAAAAAAAAAAAATTATTAGTAGAACTAATGGATCAGCAACGAAGTAATGAACATTAATTTGTGCAGCACGTTGGGAAAGACGACCCACTGCGGATCGAATCCACCGAGGATCAGAGCCACCTGCAGCAGACACAGCATCACAGATACCAGCGCAATCTCATTAAGATACCGAACCAACAGAGTCAACAGGTCGATCAGCCAGTAAAGTGTTCCATGTTTACTCAAACGGAGCAAACTAATAGTTTTACACAAACTGAACAAAGCAACTCTGGTTACGCTGAGCAGCGTCAGGTAATGTAATTTATTTTGATTTCGGTGGGGAATATATCAGGGGTTGAGAGTCAATTTAAAAGAGATGGGGAAATTTTTGGAGGGAATTTTTTCAAGAGCTAACGAATGAAAGAATACAAGAAACAAAAAACAAATGAAACAAATTCACTCGATTCTGACGGGAGTTTTTAATTAATGTCTTTGAACTAAGGTATGTTGAAGAATTGTTGCAAGAATTTCATTTATGGAATGGAATCAGAACTACAAAGAACGTTTTTATAAAAAAATTTCTGTCTCTCAAATTCCGAGATATTTAGAAACAAAAAAAAAAAACAAAAAAGGAATCATAAACAAGATTGACTTGAGTCAACCCAACCTCAAGAATATCTCTAGAATTACAGAAGAAATTTCGGTTGGAATTCTTCAAATCTAAGAGAAGTTGAGAAATCTTCATCAGGGATTTTCTTAGAAAGAGAAAGGAGAGCCACAAAAATGAATTTATAAAAATTTCGCTCTGGAATCGAAACAAAATTGATCTCAATCCTCTTAACTTTGAGGTGTGTTGTTGATAAAAATCTTGAAATCAGGGTGATTTCAACTTAATTTTTTTTCTTCATTTCTCTTCATATTAAGCAAATTATATCGTACCACTTCTCCTTTTGATGTCTTTTAGAATGTGCAATAAAATTAAAATTGACCGATTGATTATTAAAATTTCCAGCCCCAACAGCAGGCGACAATGTTCGATCCTCAGCAAATACAGCAACAGCAGCCGGCTCAGGGACAGCAATCCCAGCAGCAGGGCCAGCAGATGCAGTACGTAACAGAAAAAAAAGAGGAGAAAACCCAGCAACAGGCAACAACAGCTGAATTTCCCTTCTATTACAATGTCAATATGCTGCAGAAGGTACAAACAAATACAGTTAGCACGATTGGTGCTATAACAACAGATGACAAAGGCTGTTATCGTTTCGATGTACAACCTGTTGGTTACAATACACTGCTGAATCAAATGAGTCTGGCAGCAGCGACAAATGCTGCAACATTCAAGTGTGACATTTGTGGATTGGTGTTTGGCCATTTAAGTCTGCTTAATCATCACAAGAGACTTCACAATTCTACACCGAGTAATCTGCAACAACCTCAGCAGGTTGTCGTGCAAGCACCGACAACTGTCACTGTTGCAACAACACCTGAGAGACCGTACACTTGTGATGCTTGTGGTGCTTGTTTTGCATTACCTGGAGAATTGAAGAGTCACAAGACTAATATGCATCAGAAACCTAAAGTCCAAGTGTGCGAGGAGTGCGGGAGTGAAGATCCCTGTGAACATCATCCGACTAAAGTTAAAAAGAGTGAGTTGTCATAATTTATTACATTAATTGATTGAGATTTACATCACTGAACCCATTTTTTGGATTAAGTGATCAAAATATGGGAATTTCACATCCAAAATATGAATATTTCACGTCCGATATGACAATTGTTGAATAATAATTACGATAAAAAATCAAAACCCCATTTTTTAGATGCAATTTTATGTGAATGGTTTAAAATTCACGTGAAATGAAAAGTGAAATTGAATCTAGATTATTACTAAATAACAAAAAATACAAAATTATGAAATGAATTGTCTTCAATCACATCGATTCTTTGAATATCATTCCCAATGTTCGTTATTAATTTTAATTTTCTTCATTTAGCAATCAAGCCTGGCCATCATCCTGTTAAACGAAGGGGCGTGACTAGTGTAACCAAGTGCCACAAGTGCAATGGAACGGGAATCATTTTCATTGGTAGGTTTAACTCTCACTCATTTAGGGAAATAAATATGGAAAAATGTTACATCCATGAATTCAAGCAATTTTCCCGTTATAAAATCATAAAAATGAGAGTGACATTTTTTCACATAATATTATCAATGCATCCACCTTTCCATCATATTGTCATTTCATTGCTGTCATGATCGTACATCGGGTGATGTACGATAGGTAAAGACGACGAAAAACTAGATTCTGGACTGAGTTCCCTAGCGAAGTGTAGCGGCTGCAAGGCAACAGGCCGCATCATCATAGGAAGTAAGTCGGACAAAATCACAGCCAAGGAATCGGGGGGATTTCAATCGTGAATTTTTTTTTCCATCATCATTCATTACTCGGTGTTGCATTCGATAAAGAAATCCCCCTGGTTTTAGATGATGACAGTTCTGATTTAACTTCTATTTGTTGTTGAATTCCCCTGTTCTGTCGTCTCGTTTAGAATTAATTTCACCTCTACTTGTTATGGTACAATTTTTTAATCTCAATTACTGAACAACTCATCAGTTTAATTAATTAATTGATTCATTAGTACATTCATTTATCGCTGCATTGTAATACATGATATTATTTATGCAGAAGAGCTTCTGCTGTACATTGAATTAAATAATCCTATTCTAAAATAATGACAAAATAATACAGTAATGCAGAATTTCATTCGCAAAACTTTAGGTAATGCATCAAGCATTAATTCCTAACTAATATTTTATTCAATGATTGCTATAGTCGATCACCTTCACATCATTTAGATGGTAAATCTACATATAAACATCTTGCAATCACTAATAATCATTGCATAATAATTCATCAAAATCGAATGGAAAAATCTTTTAATAAATAGGAATTTATGCAAGATTTGAATTTATCAACAGTTCAGCCAATTAAACGTAAAATTAATCGCTGAAAACTGACCACACGATAAGAAAATTAAATAAAATAGATTAATTGAAATTGAATGGAAATAAATATGACATAGGATTTAAAACATGAAACAATAACAATTAATGTTGCGATGAAATTCACCAGTAACATTACAAACTTTTTCAGTTCAACTGTAAGTAGAGGTGATGCCTTTCAGCCGTAGTCCATCATCTTGAGAAATTCACCAAAAACAGAACATTCGATAAACTTTTTCAATAACTTCTATATAAAATAAACTCATGCATGTTCCTGTAGTGATACTAGTGTTGAATCATTGACTGAAGTAGCCAAAAATATCCCTTGACCATAAAAATGAAGTATAGAACTGTCGGCATCTAAATATAAGGACGATAAAGCGGAACAAAATCTCCCCTAAGGGACAGTTTTATAAATGTTTGAAAATTCATCTCTGCATATATTTCATTTCTACATATATTTTTTTAAATCATCAATTAACATTCATCAAAGCACGGGCCACAGACTAGCACAATCCAATGAGACTCGAAATTTTCTCAGTTTCAATGATAAAAGCCTCATGATTGATATCACGTTATTGAGAAGAAAATTCATATTAATGATATTTGTAGAACTGGCCCTTGAGGAAAATTAACACTTCGGTCCCATTTATCATTGCAGGCGGCAAGCAAAACCAGAACCAGCCGGAGAAGCCATTTCACTGTAACGTTTGTGATGGAACATTTTCACGCTACTCATCGCTCTGGTCACACAAGAGACTCCACTCTGGGGATAAACCGTTCAAGTGCGAAGTCTGTGGTTTGGCCTTTGCGAAGGGTACGTACAACACTTTATTATTGGGGGATCATTGAAAAAAGAGGATTAACGATGCATTTTCAACGATGAAATTTGCTAATTGTATTGCGTGTGAAAAATTTTAATGAATTTATGAGTTATTCGCCTCTTTAAAATTACATTTTGCAAATTTTTCATCCATTTTAATAATTTTTTTGGAACAGTTGACTTCCCAAACGTTTTCAACATTTTTGAAAGTTTTATGTTTTTTAAGTTTGATGAAATAATTGTTAATAAATGTTAATTTAGGGTCATATAGAGTTTTGATATTCAATTGTAAATGTTGTTTTCTTTAATTGGATGAATTCATTTGTGCATTCAATCTTTTCAATGCATCCACTGATTTAAATTTCCATTAATCGCAAATTTTATGTTTGAAAATGGAGTTGTAATCAACTGGAAAGCATCTCCAGAGTAATAAAAATATTGATAAGCCACCCTTGTCATGATGAACAGTTATTCATAATTAAAATTGACATTTCAGCTGCTTACTTGAAGAATCATGGACGCGTGCACACTGGTGAAAAACCATTCAAGTGTAGCGTATGTGGTATGCAATTTTCGCAGAGTCCACACTTGAAGAATCACGAGCGCATACACTCGGGCGAGCGTCCATATCAGTGCGAAGTTTGTGAGAAAACATTTGCGAGACACTCGACACTGTGGAATCATCGTAGAATTCATACTGGTGAAAAGCCGTACAGGTGTAATACTTGTGGTTCGGCTTTTAATCAGGCGACTCACTTAAAGAACCACGCTAAAGTGCATACCGGTGAAAAACCGCATAGGTAATGTCAATTACAAATTGGAGAAGTCATCAAATGATTAAGTTAATTATTTTTCTCAATTTTTGGGAATTGATGAGTTGCTTTAACTCATTAATTTCATGAACTTTTCATTATGAAATTCTTCAAACTCTCGGGAATGGCCCAGACATGATATAATCCCAGGGCAATAGTATAGAATCTTACAGAATTAAAAAACAAATCGGGAATCTCAACCAAGTTAAGAAAACTTATGAATTCCGTGAAATCTTCGTTCAGAGCATTTCGGGAATTATTTTGCACAGCTACCTCCCTAATTTCTCTAATTAATCCCGAACTCATTTATCCAAAAATCATCCATTGACAGTAATCATTCAATTGGCCTAACCGACCTCTTTAATTTCTTCCAGATGCGACATTTGTGAAATAGGTTTTTCGGATCGTTTTGCCCTGAAACGTCACCGTGCAATTCACGAAAAGTACGGACAAACAGCGAGAAATCAGAATGCCAACAGTGCGAGTAACTCGCAGCAGCCAAATACGAGTAATCCCCAGCAGCAGCAACAGCCCAACACGAGTAATCCCCAGCAGTCACAACAGGCCCAACAGCAGCCCCAGCCACAACAGCAGACCCAGCCAGGCCAGCCCCAAGTAGTTGTTGTAAATGCAACGACACCAGTAACTGTCAGCCAGGGCCAGGGACAGGCAGTAATGCTGGACGAGGTATACAAATGCCAAGTTACTTTTCCAGAGCCTAAATGATTTGACAGTTGAGAAGAGGACACATGCCAAATGCTGTGCTGAATAATTAACCAGAGAGTTTCTTATCTTTATCCTTCGTCACAAGGAAACAACATTTCGGGAGATACTATTTTTCATTATTCCGTTTCTCTCCTTTTTCCCTTTGTTTTTCGTCATTCATCATCTCACGATGGTGTGTGTTGTATCTGTGAAACAAGGTTCAACTTGTTTGAATAATGAATAATTTTTAACTACCTGTGCCGACGATAGACATTTTTTAAAATACGCTTTACACAAATTAATGAGAAAATTAATGATAACGATTATTGATGAAAAAATAAGTAACACACAGTTTGTTCGTCAGTTGAAAGCGTAGTGGTGATTCGAATTGAATAATGAACAATTTATTAATGATAAATAATTGATACTGCAAGGAACGATAATGAGTATCGAACAGGCAGACTAATCTGTTTTATAATTTTAAGGCCGAATACTATATTACAAATATCAGTTATATACTATAGAGAGAATAGTTTGTAATGGTGAATAGCTGATTAGAGTAATTATACGTATAAAACTTCGATACATTATTTTCATTTTCCTTTCAAACAATTGTAAACAGAGCGATTGTCACTGATCGTTAAAATTATGTCCAATTAAAATTTTCTTATTTCATGTAACTAGCATTCGCTTTAATCACTAATTCGCAATGAGAAAGATTGTTGAGACAATGTTTGTAATGATTATTGATTGATTATATAATTTTATTTTCTTAGTGAGTGTCTCGATAGACGGGAAAATGATGAAAATAAGTACATGATGCTTTCAAAATCACTTTGTGGCGTGAATGAAAAAAATGTGGTGCAGCTTATTTCGAATTAAAGAGGAGGGAAATGTCAATTGGCTTGAGTCTGATGATCTTTAAAGTCTAAGATTTTTAAAAATGGACCCTTAATCGACTCGTGACAACGGGGTTTTCCTTTTTTCACATCACGATGCACCTGTTACAATCAATAGTCTGTTCGTCTTCGCTGTATTCCCCCTCACCAGTCAGTAATTAGCATGAGTCAAAATTCCCTGTTGTTTCTTCTTCCTTGGTCGCTTTAGCGATGTAGAATTTTCGTTTTCTCTAGAATTTAAAGCAATGTTCATTTGTAAATTAACGTTTATTGTAAAACTGTTACGTTATATTTCTCTCTGAACGTAAATACGGTCATAATACCTGCTACAGTATTTCGGATTAGATTAGATACAATTTATCTATCAATGTTTCTGCACATTTTATTCAGCCTAACTCAAAACGTCGAATCAGTTTGCAAAAAGAAGAACTAAAAAAATCTCAAGTGAATTTATTATTGTGATTTAGTGGGCACCTGAAGCAGCAAAGTGGAGTTCCAGAGGCTGAATTGACACGCTTTTTATCCTTAATTTTCACACTTTTCTTTTCTACTCATTATTATGTTGACTACGTTCAATGACAAGAGAAGTTTATATCACTATTGAAACAACATGTGAATAGTTATTAGTGGTAGGTCAGGGACTGCATTATGTTCAAAAAAATTTGTCTCGTTTTCGTCGATATTTGTTATTCACTCATCGTCAGTCTCACGTTATTAAATTCCACGTGTAAATATCTGTGAATTTCTTCTTAATTATCCAGTAATGTTAATGAATTGTCTTCCTACAATTGCATAAGATACACCTGACCTGCCAAATTCACGAGATAATGTTGAATTTTCATCATTGACACCAACTATTTTCAGGCCAATAGTGGTGACCATTCGTTTGCCAATTTTTCTTTTTCACACGAAAATGTTGATTTTTGATTTATCAGTCAGTGAAATGAAGGTGAATGTGAGACGACAAAGTATTTGTCCTGTACAATATACTCAGTGAATCATGGGGGGGATTGAAATCCTGGTCCCTGGATGCCAATCGGGATGCTTAGACTAACAGATGTTCTTTCATTTACCCTCTTTAATTATTTGTGGTGAACCGTTAACTATATTGTACAGCGTACAAACTCAGATGTACCTATGATAATGAAGAAAAAAACAATTAGCCTAAGTTTAGAATTAATTGAATTCTCTGGCATCACGGATAGTGTTTAAATATTTTTTATTGGCAAGAGATGAAATAATGATAAATGAAGTGAATGAATAAAGTAACATGTGCAAGGATTTCTTTGCAAGCACTATCCAAGCTGATTTATTTTTGCGATACCGAAAGTCGATTTTTATTCCCAGAATTTGTATGTAAAAATGATATATATATTATAAATACATTATGACTATTGTTTCCTCTTATGTTGATTCTTCAGGCAAGTCTTGACTTACAATTGTACATGTTAATTGCAGTGAGGTGGTTATTAGTTGGAGGTGATTGATGCATTAGTCGAACAACATGAGTCATTCATTGATAGTATGTCACCTCACAGTCTGTTCAGCTCTGTGTGTCCAACTGTACACGATTGAAAATTTTTGTATGAAAAAAAATGAGAACAGCGTGTAACGTCTAGATTTATTTACTGTCGATATGAATAATTAGGAGTTACGGGGAGATGTTGCGTTGCAGGCGAATGAGAGCAAGTAACATGCGATCCAAGTAGCGCACGATATATACGAAATTAGGTATTAATAAATATGTCTCGAGGGACATTTCAATTTTTTAAATCATGTGTTTGTTGATTCTGCCAATCTTTGATTGTATTTTTTTACATGTTTCAATACTGTAGACTTCGAGAATTGGGGATTCAATCAGGTAAGGAGATGTTAATTTTTGTATTTTTTATTTTTTATTAAAAAATTTTTGTTTTCGTCTTTATTTTCTCAATTTTTATTCTGAGAAAGATCTGAAAAAAATCAGGAATATTGAGTGGTATTCTAATTAAGTGTTGCACAGAATTATCATTTTTTTAACATTTTTTTTAACATTAAATCCATTTTAATAAATTTGTTACGATTTCGAACAAATGATTTTTATGGGGGAAAATTGGTTGCTTATAAATTATTGATAAAAAATACTCGTTATTTTAAAACATTGCAATTTTTTAATTATTTTATTAATCTTCCTGCAGAATAGTCAGTGGAATCAAAAAAATTTCACAGATTTCCGTCAGAAATAGAGAAACTTTTAATGAAGTAACTAAATTTCATTAAATTAAATATAAATTTAATAAAATCCCGAACTTTTTCCAATTTTTAGTTCTACTCAAAATACGTGTTTTGATTATCATAATCTACGAAAACAAAAACGGGGAAAAAATTGGATGGAGTAATTTATTTCAGTAAATTATAGTACAAAATAATTTGAAACAAATTCAGAATCAGAAAAACCTAATAAAATATATGATCCATATAAATAAATATATCGCAAAAAACCTTTTATTTATTGTTTATAAATAGTATCTGTGAATTTCAGAAAGGGAAATATTCCTGCAATAATTAAAAAGATGTTTTTTTCCTGAAAATTTAAATTCTTTACAATTTACTTCAACTTAAAATTAAATTTCGTTTAGTTACGAAGATTAAAATGTCCATTTAATGCTACTTTCCCTCGAAAATTAACACCTAACGTTCAATTTTGCGCTTTTAAGGGTTAACAGAATGCCCTTAATTTTCCAAATTTTTGAACAAATTTCCTGCCCAAAGTTATCGATATTTTTACAAATCAAAGCACATTAATAAAGATCAATGTGCTTTGGGTTCGAAAAATACTAATAACTTTGAGCAGGAAATTACCGAAATCATTTGAACTTTGAACTTCCCGCTTCTCAGCGAAAGCCACCTGCCGGTGAAATAATGAAAACCTGAAATGTACGCGACTGCGCTTTTCAGTGTTCATGTCATGCCGTACTCCGTAGGTCGCTTCTGACTTGCGGGTCATACAATGATAAATTTGATCAAATTATCCGAGATACCTCAAACTATTGAAATTGACAATGATAAACATTTGAAATACTGACGCCGCCTGCTGTTGAAACAATCGAGGTATGACAAGAGTTAATCCTTATCAATTTCTCCAATTGGGAAAATCAATACGTCGATATTAGTTCGCATCAGTGTTCGCATGACATTTGTTTATTTTGATTACTTACATCGTGGTAGAATTCATGTAAAGCATTGAGAATAATGCCCGAGGTAGTGAATTATTGCGAGAAGGGGTACATCATTTTTGGATCGGTCGGAATTTTAATCAGTGATGTAGCATTTTGGGGTCTTCTCATTGGGCCCTTGGTTATGCGACACCAGAGTCGTAAAGTCATGAAGTAGATTATTTCCACGACTGAGAGAAAACTGAAACCCATGAAGAGACCGAGAAGTCCTCCAATATTTGCTGGAGGAATGAAAACAAAGTCGTGAATTTAGTGATTACATCGCAGGGAAAAATGTTAATAAATCGAGATTTTGCGGGGCAGCGTCGTTTTTTCATTTTTTTTTCTCAATTTTTATTCCAATTACACTCGATGTAATCATATTTCCATTAAATTTTTAATGTTATTTCAAGATAAATCAAAATGTTGAAGAAGAATTTTGAGGATTCAATCATCTTCATTAAATTTTTAATATTTTAAAAACAAAATAATTAATAAGTAGGGGAGGTTGGGGTAAAACGGACACTTTTGACTTTTTTAAAAATGTTAGTGAGGGATTGGAATGTTGATGAAATTCAATAATTTTTTTCAATACAAAGAACAAGTTTTTCCCTTTGAGACGAGCCTAAACTGAGCTCAATTGATAAATTTGTTTCTGAGTTATGAATAATTTTAAAAAAGTCTGAAGTGTCCATTTTACCCCACCCTCCCCTAAGTACAATAATTAATAAACTTTCACTACTGAGAGAAAACAAAGTCGTGGATTCGGTGATTTCATCACACGTAGAATTGTGAATAAATCGTCATTTTACGGGTAAAATTTCCAGAAATATTTTAGCGAAAATAATTGAACTTACATAGGAATTCAATAAATCCGAACAGCTCGCTCTTCACTAAATTCGGGAATTGAGATTCGACGAAGTAGAGGTGAACCACAGCCATATTTTCCCTGAATTCATGCAACAAAATCAACGCATTTTCAAGGGAATGCACGGAGAATTGACGAGGGTAGTTGATTGATAATTACGTGAAGTATTTCTGGTCCGTGTTATTGAGGTACAGTTCATCGACGATGAACGCGTTAGACAGTTTACTCTGCGATATCTGGGTCTCATAGTTAGTCTCGAAACATGCTGGCCAGCAGTTACAACTGGGCCTGTACACAGTTATCAATCCATTCAGTAGCGAAGTGGTAAAACACGTTTTAAGTCAACTGATCTCCCCGTTGAGTTTTCGAGGAATATTTCCAAATCTAAGGGAGATAGCGAAATTTTCGTAATTACATTTGTTGTAGCACTCAATCGGCTCTACAAAAAAGGCTATAACAAAAATTTTGCTATCTCCCTTAGATTCTGAGATATTCATTGAAAACTGGTCAATAGTCAAAATTGAATTGCACCGTTTTACCACCTCCCTACTGAATTCATGTACGAAAAAAATTCACAGAAAAATCTCACGAATTCTATAAAAAAAATTTTCTGGACTTTTCTACTGGATTTCTAAATTGAAAATTCGAAAATTTTCTCTATTGGAAATTTTTTTTCAATGGAATTGTTTAATGGGAAATATTCCACAGAAGAAATCAATAGAATTCGAGTTTTTTAATGCAAAGTGTAGAAATTCCTCGGCTCAAATTTTTTTGTGTGACTTTTTAAATGGAAAAATAGAGTGGGAAAAATTTAGAAAACTCATGTCGAGGAATTCCTATAGAAAAATTTGTATAGAAAGATGAAATTCAATAGAAATTCAATGGAATTGCCTATCGAATTCGCTAGGGTTTTCTATGAAATTTTTACATTAACGTATGAAAATCCTCTGATAATTTTCCTGTGGAAATTTCAATGTAAAGATTTCATAGACAACTGGGACATTCTCTGCATGAATTTTCCTATGAGAATCCTTGGGAATTTCAAGTGCATAAATTTTTATATCTTTCTTCTACTTACGATTCTGAGCGATTGAGCCTGTCTAAAGCCTCTTCATCATCATAAAGATTATTTTCCATGAGCAGTCTAGCATCCCTCGCACATTTATCATCTTTCTTACCACAAATAGGAGTATTCGCTGATTCTTCAATGCAACAATAAAATGACAACTTTAAAGGAGTTCTCACAACCTCTCACAAATTACACAATTTAATACAGAAAACCTTACGCTTTCCTCCAGAAATTCAGCTGAATTCCTACTAAAATTCTATTGAATTCTTGAGCAAAAATTTTTCCCGCTATATTTTTTTTCTCACAACAAAATCCACGAAAAAAAACGTAAAATTGATTCTACAAAAATTCTTACACAAAAAACCCCACAGAACAAATTATATAGAAGAATCAACATCTCCAGAATTTTTCTATAAACAAATATCCATTTAAAATACGCGACAGAGATGCGTAATTTTCAATAGAATTGGCGTAAAAAACAAATGGAATTTTTCAACAGAATCCCAATAATCTCGTCATACAGTTCCAATCGAAATTCAATAAAATTTCTTGGAGAAAGCACTAGTATTTTCTATTAAGGCTCGGGTGGATTATTTTTCTCACGTGATCTTGATTGTTTTTTTATTTTGATAATCTCAAATGATCCCCAATTGCTGTTCAGTTTTCCATAGCCCTGGAGTCTCCAAAAATTACGATTGCACAATCAAAAAACGTTGAAAAAATGCTGAACATTTTCAAAAAGCGTTTGTGAATAATATTGGGGAGTAAAGCCAATAGGGAGGGAATTGCTAATTAATAATTTGCTGTATCTAATGGCTGTCAGATCGTCAGTTACTACGATAAATTATCCATTCACTATTTCCTCTCTATCGAACTTATTTCTTAATCTTGATTAAAACCGCTTTTTGAAAATGTTCAGTTTTATAATACTTTCATGAAGAACTATAATCCGTGCGGGTCTTAAATTTTCTGTCAATTTTCCAACTTTTTTCAAAGAAATTCAATTCTCGCTTGAATTCAGTAGCGAAGTGGTAAAAGGGTATAAGTCATTTGTGACTATTGGCCAGTTTTCAATGAATATCTCGGAATCTAACGGAGATAGCAAATTTTTTGTTATAACCTTTTTCGTAGAGCCGATTGAGAGCTACAACAAATGTAATCACGAAAATTTCGCTATCTTCGTTAGATTCGGAAATATTCTGCAAAAACTCAACTGGGAGATAAGTCGACTTGAACCGTTTACTTCGCTACTGAATTCAACCCTCAAGTTCTACTTTTCTACGCACTTGGCATGTAATACTGCACACAATGACACTGACTCTGGGTGAAATTGGCCTCACACTCCAGAAGACAATTCCTCTCAGTGTAAGTTCGATAATACTTGAGCTTTCGTTCAGTAGTGAAATAACACTTCCTCTTCTTCCTCGGTAACGACAGAATCGACCAGCTGGCGGATGATATCCTCGGTGTGATAATCACATTGGTCTCGACCCCGGGACTTATCGCAAGACTGAAGTCTGCGATTTTCGGGGTCTCAATGGGACTGTGAAGAAGTAGTTTGAAGCCAACACTGGCTGTTGATGAGCAGTAATACTGCTTAAGTTTAGCATCCAGCACTATCGTTAATCCCAGATATCTTCCAGCACCGTAGGGCCTCCAGGGCTGTGTGTCTGGAGCTACTGATGTGTTGTAGCCACTCTCCGGCTTCCAATCAATCGTTTCGAAGTCGTATTTTATGTTCAAGTCGTTCCACTCCAGTCTTGGGAAGACGAAATGATTTGAGTGCTCTTTCATCGAGAGTTCATCCATTCTTTTCATTTCGGTGGTGTGTACTTACGGATTGTAGAACAAATATTTTTTGTGCACAGCATTGAAATTACAGCACAAACCCTCATCGGTTAGAATTGGATTGAATATTCTATCGCATTCGGTCACGTTTTGATGCCAGAAGCAATAGCGCAGCAATTCTTCGCAGGGTTGAGAGACCTTTGAATTAATTCTTTCAGTGGATTAACATTTTTTCAGACATCGAGAGGCAAAATTATAATCTCAGGTCGCAAGTCTAGATGTTGATTTTTTTGTTCAACTTATGCTGTTGGGGTTTTTTCTATAAGATTTTTTTCTGTGTAAATTTGCGGAGTTTGTTTTTTTTATTTTATTGTGAGAAACTTTTTTGATTTTATTGTAATGGACAATTTTCTTTATTTCTTTTTCTTTATTTATTAATTACTCACATTGAGCATAAAACGGAGAACATTGCTCCAATCAGCGGATCCAACCACGTCATTATCCATTGAGGTATTTTGGAAATTACAGATGTCCTCAAGCAGAAGCTTCTCGACACTGTCGTTCCTGTGGCAATTCACATTGTTTGTCAATTCGTTTCCCTGTTTTATACGAATGATAATGATTGTGTTTGGTTTGTCACCCTCTGTTGATGCGATTAGCTTCCTCTCGGTTGGCATTATTCATATTGCAAACAGTTACTGATGGAAATGGAAACTCTGTCAGCGCAACAGGTTCGGGACTTATGGAAATTATTATGGGGGAATTCTGCAATTTCTGGTAGAGGTGCCAGATGAAGTAGGTGGCGGTGAGGACAGCACACACGAACGCGAGTATCCAAAAGAGCCTAGATGAAAAATCCAGTCGGATTCATTTTTTCATTTTTTAAAACTTCGAGAATTTACATTTTCACTGAAATTTCGGGAAATTTCCGCATTAAAAAATCACTATTCGATGAGAAAATGAATGGGGATGGTCAATTTTTGTTCAATTATCCAGTGAAAAGTGGGGAAATCGAAGGAAATATATTTGTGAATATCAAATTAGTAGGAAGTTCACGAAGTTGTGACCTGTTCGTCTCATTTTTTAATTAACACTTATGAGTCTACTTCAATTTTCTGTTGAACTTGAAATTTTACAAACTTGTTAGACGCCAAAGAACCTAGATAAAACCCCAATGGATCCATAAAACTTTAAAAATTTTCTGTAATTGACATTTTCACTGAAATTTCCGGAAATTTCTCCATTGAAAAATCGCAATTTCATGAAAAAATCAATGGGAATTGTAAATTCCTGTTCAATTATCGATCGAAAAGTGGAAAAATATGAAAAAAATTATTCTGAATTTTCATAAGCCTCCTAGAGTCTTTAATAAATTCCACTTTTATTCTTTTATTCGATGTGAATCATAATCTGTATGTGATCAATACCCTAGTATTCCCACAACGATACCCGTAGCTTCATTACTGGAATTACCTCTCCAGCAGATGAAGACTCCTGTCCCCAACGTATTTCAACCCATGAAGACTGCTATTAGCACAATATTGTTCCGTAAATTCCAAATGCCTGAAGTTTTTCCAACAAGCCTGCAAGTGGCTACTCTTCGTAAAATATTCCCCTTTCTCATAATCCTTCCGTATTCGTGACTCTGTATTTCTCGTGATTGACGTCCCATCCAGTGTCTGGAAGTAATTTAAATTGCACTTTGTGAAAAAAATCCTCCATCAACTTTCCTGCTCATCTGGATGATTCTCAGTACCTTTTGCAAAAAACCTGGACGAAGTTTAACAGCGTCGTTTTGAACATTCCTCCAGTCCTCGAATTTCTGGGTACTTTTGTACGGATTTTGCAAGTGGACCGAGTTGATAGAGAACGGCTGGAAAGTTTCCATGGATTCTTTTCCGTCTAAAAGCCCATGGCCGTTCTTACTCTCTTCATTAAACTGATTAAGTTCAGTGCGAAAAGCACGTGCACGTCTTAAATACGTTTCTGAAGTCATTGCAGAACCGAAGATTTTTATCTCGTTCGAGTCTTTGTGAATTACATTACCGATTTTGGAGATGTGCAGGTGGTCGAGGAATATCCGTGAGGCCGTCTACGATTATTTGAGGGGAAGTTTTTGTTAAAAAGGTCCACGAGAATTTTTTGACTTTTTAAAAAATTGAAATAACGAGATTTCATGGGAAAGAAATTAATGGAATTCCCGAGTTTCTAGAGTGTTCAACAAGTCCAACATTTGATTGTTGATTTTTTTTTATCAATTAGTTTCGCTTGTTCCACATTCAACTTTATTTTTATGAGTCTCAGTCAACAGGCATCTAGTGTTTGCCACATTAAATAATTTTGGTAATATAGTTTCTGAAAGAAGAAGGATATTCAAGTACTTGAATAATTCTTCAACGTTCAAACTGTCCAAATTTGTTGTTGAACATTAGAATTTCAATTCAAGTTTAATTTTACACTAGTTTTTTGACGATTTTTAAATGATATCTAAATTTGAATGGTTTAAATTTGATTCTTCATTTTGAACCACTAGGAAATATTTTTTCAATCTCACAAAAGTGATAACTTTACGTTTTAAAGAAGAGTTGATGAAAGAATTACAAAAAATATAGAAATTTCATCTTCAGAAATTCTGACAGACAATTTTGGGTGGAAAGATGAGAAAAGCGCAGTAATTTTGTGGAATTCTTCTATAGAATCGGCCAAAAACCAATAGAGTTTTTAATAGTACACGGAGAGAAATTCTGTAGAAAATTCTAGTGCTGGCACGAGAAAAAGAGTGCAAAGTTCCAGCTTTTATTGGATGGCACGTCAGTTTTTCTCGTTTTTACGAAATGTTCACAGAAATTTCCATGAATTTAACCAGAAAAACCAGAAATTTTACTTAAACAACACTAGAATTTTTGAATAACCGGCAAATGGTGAAATCTCCACTAGAATTTTTCTCCCGAAATTCTCTCCGTGCACTGATAGAAGTATTTAGATGCTGTTAACGAGGGTTAATAATTGGGGAGCCTCGTTAATATCAACTAAATCGTTCCACCCTTTCTATCAGTGTGCATGTCAATAGTCTATTAAATTCGCCAGATTTTTCCATGGAATTTTTTTCCTGCGTTTAGTGTGGAAATCACCGAACTTGTACTTGGATATCCTAAACCCCACAGCCTTGAAAATCCTCACAAGAGAGTGTTAACGAGTTATTAAAAGAGGGGCTGAGCTGTTTACGATACAAGCCCCTTGACACTTGTGCCAGTACCTTCTCCAGAGCTTCCGTAACGATGCCAATGGGGATCGATGTTGATAGTTGACCAGTGGAGTGACATGTGTCCTTTTGCCTTATCAACAGGCCCGAGGCTTTCGTGACCACTGTATCCTTCCACCTGCTGCTGTCCACGTAGCTGGATTTTTCCACAGTCCCATTGGCTGCATCACTATCATTTTCAGATCGTAAATCAGTCGAGTTTTCCGATTCACTTGTCATTCTATTCCCCCTCAACTCGGTTATTCAATAGTTGCGACACTTCTGGGGAGGGTGCCCTCAGCGACTGAAGGCTTCACCTCACCTTCGCTGTTTTAATTTAAACTTGTGTACTAGAGCGTTTGCTCAAGATTGGGAAATTGCGATAGGGGAGATAGACAACTCGTACCCTTTATTTCATTCGTTTGGGGATTGCATGATAGGGTCAACACGAGGTAAATATTTAGAGGGGATTATCGGGGAATTTTTTAATCTCCATCCATGAAAAAATTCTAGGGGACGACCTCGCGATTTCTCTTGGAATTCTATTCTGTAAAAAAAAATTTTTTTTTGCCTCATTTCTATAGCAGATTATGCAGCTTTACCGTGTGCAAAATTTAATAGATTGTTATTTTTCTACAGAAATTCTTGAATGCAAATTTTCGAAATTTTTTCTACTGCACTTTCCCTCGTTTTTCATAATAAAATCGGAGAAAAAAAAGGCAAATTCGTGCCCAAGAATTCTTATAGAAAAAATCTCATTGGAATAAGCTGCATAGCAAAATCAATATCTACAGACATTTTTTGATGAGCAAATAACAATTTAAAAAAGCCTGGGGAAGTTGCATAATTCTTAATAGAATTTGCGCAAAGAAAGAGTAGAATTTTTCAATAGAATTCAAAAGAATTTCTCCGAAAAAGCATTAGATTTTTATAGTAAATTTTTTCATCATTTTTCTCATTGGCCCACGCTATTGCCCAGCGGTGTAGATCCATCTCGTTCCACTTCTGTAATTACGTTTTAACGAATATTTAATGCAGGAAATACTCATCGCACTTGAATCATTAGTGCAAATGTTGATCTGAAGTTGAGTGGATGTGCTGAGGTAATATTGATCCTCATACACTACAGAGGCAATTAATAGCACGAATATATGGCGACTACGTTTATTTGCCCTGCGGAATACATCAATATTCGATCACTATTCATCACAACTTGACCCTTTTTTTAAACATGACCGGCATTTTTGCTATTTAGTATTTTTGGCGTCCGCAAAAGCTCCAGATAAAATCGTGCGGAAAACATTGCGTAATGGTAAACATAAATACTTCTTCGGTGTATTCGTGACGGGCTTTAATGACGACCGCAAAATAATTACATAATAAACATCAGTGGTTATCGGTAATGCTGAAAATTTTTACATTTTTAGTCGCGTGACATTGTGATCTAGAAATGTCCCTCATTTTTTTTATATCATCAGTGGGCGAAATGTTGACAGTGTTAGTCCCTGAATGTCAATCGATTAATTACGTGGGGAAAAATGGTGGTAATGTGGACACTTTAAGGATGGACGAGTATTACAGCGAAAATGATGAAACAATTATGTAAAAATTATTAGGTAATTAATGAACTATAATAAGAAATTGTTTGACCTTTCGAAAACTTGTTATTTTTGATTATAAAGGGAAAATAACTTTTACGAAGATTTCAACGTAAACTACACATGTAAAAAATATAATATTTAATGGAAAAGCTTGCACTTTTTTCAAGAATTTCTATTGGAACTGTATAATTGTTCTAACGACGTTCTATGAGAATTCTATCGAGAAATTCGATTTATTTTTTGCCCCAATTCTGTTCAACATTATGCATTATGGATTTAAGCATTTTGCATTAAACATTGACATTATGCCGTTTTAAATGGATATTTTTTAATAGACAAACTCTGTAGCTGTTGAATTTCTCTTGAATTTTATTGCGATAAAAAAATGTAAAAAAAAAAAATCTACTGAAGTTTTTCCATCAAATGAGTCTTGACAAAATGTCAATAAACTATTATCTTTAATAGAATTGCCGCAGAAAATGAACAGAATTTTTAAATACAATTCCACTAGAAATCCAATACAATTTCTCGAGAAAAGCTCTAGGTTTTCCTATTAATTTTTTTCCCCGTTTTGTTCCAAATTCATGAAAAATTGTCATCAATAAATTGATGCATTTTCCACGTTAGAATCTTCATCAGTTCCAATCCCCCCCCCCCCCCC